GTGTTGATCTTAGAGACCTGATAGCGTTACCGTGGAATTTAAGGGAGAACTACTTGAGGACTGTCACGCACGGCCTTTTTATTGGATGTTTCGGAAGGTTCGCTCCGTTCTTCAACTGGCCTTACCACGAGACACAGAAATCTATGTCGTAAGGTGAGGTGTGGCGTTTTTAGGGTTGTCTTTTTCTAACCGCTTCCTTCCGTTGTGAGAAGGGCGCATCTCTGTAAATGCTGATTGTCCAAGGGAAACGTCTTACTACTTCCACACCCCTCTACAGTCAGCAGTACGAATTCACCCTAAGACTTTAATTTGTTGGTTTTAGTCTTACCTTTCTCGAATCGACTTGCCTGGTATGGTATAACCTGAAGGGATGTATGTTCCAGCCAATATAGCTCGGTCGGGTCATCATGATATGCAAGCTCGACCACCGTGTCAAGATGTCACTTTTTCCTAGTTTTTCTTTCGGTTAATGTCTTTTAGCTACAGTAACATATGATCTATACGAATGTACATGTGAATCCTCACCTTCAGTAAACAGACTACGTATACAAGTAATACTATTATTATTACAAGGGATTAACGTCCTTCAGTTGATGAAGTTGTGATCGTACGACACTGAACAGAGTAACTGAGTTTGATATGTATTTAAATATTGAATATCGTGTCATATAAATAGGGCACGAAGTCAAAATTACTCATACTTATAATCAAGTGCCATAATTCAAATTAAACAAGCGAGCAGTTACGTAATCAAGCAACATCATTATGATTTAATCTTTATCATCACAACAAACAGGTTTATGATGCTTGATATCATCAAATTGACCTTTGAAAACAAAAGCGAAAGCAGAGATTTTTTATCAAATATTTTGAACGCCTTCTGGATATCCACTTAATCTTTATTATTCATTTAATTTCTAGTTATCTTAGGAGGTTGCCGACTACGAATTTCCAACCGTCTTAGTCTAAGGCCTTCCGTTCCAGTTCCACTCGATTGTTGTTCATTCTTTTGATATCTGCATCCAATTCTTGGTCTAATGTGTTCTTTAGTCTACCTCTTTTCCTTTAGGGATCACCTCGTGACGCAGTTGAGTGGTTTCCGCAATGTGTGTCCTATCTACCTCCAGCACTTTTCACCAATTTCTTCCTCTGCTGTTATCTGCTCTGTTCTATCTCACAGTAGGTTTTTACTGATAGTGTCTGGGGAACGGATCCTCAGTATCCTATGTAGACAACTGTTAATAAACACCTGTATCTTTTGAATGATGGTTTTCATAGTTTTCTAAGTTTCCGCTCAAACAAGAGAAGTGTCTTGACATTTGAATTGAAAGTTCTAACTTTGGTGTTGGTTGATAGTTGTTTTGAGTTACAGATGTTCTCCAATTGTAGAAATAATGCCCTTGATCTGCCAACCGTGTCATCACATCGGCATCCAATTCACGTTGTTTAACAATGATGCTGCCCAGGTATGTAAGGGTTTCCACATCTTTCAAAGACTCTCTATCAAGTGTGGTTTGGTTAGTGGTCGCTGTGTTGTATTTAAATATCTTGCTTTTTCTTTTTTGTATGTTCAGACGTACTGTTGCTACACTGGCCGGCTTCTCCTGTATTTATCTAAATCACCTGTGAAGTCCAAGTCGTTCAGCTGCATCCAACCTGTCCAATCTATCCCTTGCTTCCCTGAGATTCTCATTATCTAGTGAACCATCAGAAGAAAGGGCGAGAGAAAACAGTCTTATCTGACACCGTTATTCAACCGGAGTGAGTCTGCAAGCTCTTCACCATACACATTTATGCAGTATGAGTATATCGCTCAAGGCTTGAGACTTGTTGCTGAGATCTATCTTGAATTCCTTGAGTTATCCAGTATTCTAAATAAAGGTTGTATTAAACTTCTGTAGTGCTGTTTGTCCAACTGTCCTATGCTTCTTGAGTTTTCATTTCATCTTCACCACCATCAGATGGTGAGATGAAGCAATGTCAACTCCTCGCTTTGTTATCACGTCCTCCACGGCTCTTCTGGATTTTTATTGACGATGTGATCGATTTGGTTCTGTGCAGTGTGATCCGGTGTAATCCATGTAGCTTTGTGTATGCGCTTGCGTCGGAATATGGTGCCGCTTATGATCAGCCTGTTGAAGGCACATAGGTCTGCCAATCTCTGATCGTTTTAGTTCCTTGCTCCCAGTCCATGTGGTCCCATGATGTCTTCATATTCACTGTCGTTCATTCTAACCACGGCGTATAGGTTACCCATTAAAATGTTCAGGTCCTTCGCTGTGCATTTCTCTACGACTGACCAAAGCCTCACATAGGATTGACCTTTGTCGTCTTAATTGTTCTTATTGGTGGGCACATAGCTCTGGATGAGATTCATTTTAATACCCTAATTCTTTTTCTTGAAAGATGCATGGATGATCTGATCTTCAGTCCATGAGATTTCCATCATATAAGTACTTTGTGCGCTTCATCGGACAGCATCAGTGCAGCTGCTTATTTGTGTGAGGCATTTTCTTCTTCATGGCCAGAGTACAACAGCATCTCTTCAGAAGCTAATCTTTTTAGTCTGGCTTGTGTTCAGTGGGTTTGGTATATTCCAAATACCATCAGGTGGTATTTTTTCGTTTCTTTAGCAGCTTGAATGATTTTCCCGATCTTCTACGTCCCGTAAACATTCCACGTACCTATATTATTGGTGGATCTAGTTGTTAGACGGGGTATCAGCCTCGTGACACCCGAGGGAATTCAGCTTTCACTATGAGGCGTCATAAATCTTCTAAATGAAGACCATCCAACTCCAGGGGCAAAGTCCGAATCGGTTCAATCATTTTTTTTGTGATTAACGTTTTTTTCAAGCAATTTTGTTTTCTTGACAATTCCCAACCAAAATATAAACAGATAACTAACATTTTCACGCATTCATTAGTTAACAATCATGTAAATTTACTTTTAACAATTTCGATGAAGTTAAACTACTTTCTAACATTACTGACACCATTAGTTAATGACGAACACTGAACGAAAGGAAACATGAGAGTGATAGACAGAAGTAGTGATGGATGAACAAGAAAAAAGAGAAAAAAAAATCAAGCCTAATATACATGTGATTCATTAGTACAGTACAACAATATACTTTTAAACAATAATCAGATCATAGTTTAGTCTGAAAGATAAAAAGTTGATCAATCACAATGACAAAAAGGCATAATATACCTTAAGACGACAGTAATAAAACAACAACAGAACAGTATACTTTCCTACATAATTTATTTTGTTGGAACATTAAAATTTATAAACGATTATATTGTAGAAAACTGACTGTAATTTTAAACAATAAGTATATGTTTGCTTTTGTATACAGATTGCATTGATCTTGTTTAGTTTGAATTTCACTGTGTTAGTGTGTGTCAGTGGTATTAACTGATACCAGTTCTCATTGCCAATATTGAGACCGAAATAATGCATTGAAATTTAACTAATGATCTCATAGAAACTGATATTTTTTAAACCAGAAATCGTGATACCTACATTAATCGTATAGTTGTGTTTAGGTCATGATAATAATAAGATAAAAACTCTATATATCATGAATGCAACTTAGGGTCAGTGGACTGATGAAATCTAGTTGAGGAAATGAAAGATTTGTTAAGAGCATTATGAAAATGTTAAGAAATGAGTATGATAAGCAATATATATAATGATGAATTAGTTTTTAACTGTACTGTATCGAATATAAAGAGATTTACGATACTAACAAACTTCGAATACATGACTTTATAGATTCTAGAAGAATCATCTGTTTATAATAGAAACACTATACAATTAGGCTTAAGTTAAAAGCACTTTTCACTGAATGAAAGATGAATTAGTGAATATCTGAACTTCTGTCTCATGACTATCCAGTGAACACTTAACGTTACTAAACATAATTTTGAATGGATACTCGTTTGTGATTGAACCTGGGCAAAAAAAACCATGCTGAATAAGTCAGTCAAAGTTCGACAAACCACCATCTCTCGTGTCTGTAAATCTATATGTACCTATCAAAGCAGCTACATTGGCCGGACAAAAAGGAGGATATGTTCCAAAAAGCCCTCGGATAAGAGATGGGACATCTTTAAACAGTACAATTACAAAACGCTTCTTGCACACAGGACATTAAGTTGAATCCTTGCAAATCTTTCAAACAACCAAGTTTTAATCTTCTAAATTAATCCGAAGCTAGTAGGCGTCAGAAATTTGATTCATTTATTTACAAGAAGATGGCTGTTAATCTTCTTTGCCTCAATGATTAGTTTTCCTTCATTACATTTTATAAAACTTTGTTCAATTCTTTCATTCAACTGCCTTCTCTACATAAGTAATCTTATTCAGACTAACTGCACTTTACTCATTTTGTTTTCTTACTTATTATCAGTGTTTATTTATTACTTGATCAGTTATTTTTAGTCTTTTCAACTTTTGTTATCATCAATGTTATAGAGTGTTGTTTCGTATAAAGTATATATATATATATATATATATATATATATATATATCATCTATTGAATTTATTTATATCCTTGTTTCACTATACTGATGCACGACTAGAACAACTTTCAACTAAACTATTTCATGTAAATAATTTGAATCAATTTTATAATTATAACTTAAATATTACAAGTATAACAACATGCAGGTAATGCGAACCAAATGCAGTAAAATACATTCATGCTAATTCTGCTTCAGTCTATGTTCATGCTCTCTTTCAAGATAATAAAGAGAATTATGTGTATGATTTCTTAATTCAATTAGTTTATTGCCAAAAAAAAAATGACAAAAAGTATTGGAAATTTGCTTTCTCGTTTCATGAAATGAAATTTTATCATCATCTACTATTTCATTTAAAAGTAGTTATTAAAACAACTGCAAACAAAGAAATCATTCTGAAGAATTGGTGATACAACACAATCTGGATTAAAAAAAAAAATTAAAACAGCGAGCCAGCCCATTGTAGATTATTAATCGAAATAATCTGACAAGTCAATATCTGGATCAAGAAGACGATCTTCTAAATTAGTTAAATCAATTTGATTTAAAATTAAATTTTCTAAAGTCTCTTCTAAATCAGTCTCTCCAATTAATATGGCACCTTGCATACGACCCGACTGCATAATACACTTGATGAATTCTCGTCCACGTGTAACACGCATTAAAAGATATGTATCTGATGCAGACAGATTCATGCCTTGACCATTGAAACGACCCAATAGTACAATCTGAAAGGAGAAACATGAAAGGAAATTGTTAAATAACGAAAATCAGAATAAACATTAACAAGTCACAAGATAAACATCAACTTAACATAAACATACAAAATGTTCAATGCAAAGTTTAACTGGTTTATTTGTATCTGACACCCAAAACATATCAATATATTTAAAATAGATCTTATTTTTGTAACATTTAAATTCGTTTATTTCTGTGTCATTAAACTAACCAACGCTTAAAAACTCGAAAACCAACAAAAAACTTTATGCCTCTTTATCGCGTACAAGTTTATGCACTTGACAATTAGATAACTAACTGTATAGAAGCTAGTGATACCAGCAAGCTTCTCAAACTAAAACAAGTGAGACACAGATCAACCTATCAACTTGTAGGGTTAAAAGCCAAATGTTACAACCACTATACCATTACTCTACTTATCTAACCATGTAAGTGATTGAAACGACAGTGAACAAAATATTCAAAAACGAGACTGATAAAACAACAGAATAAAAATGTTCCATTTACTACAATACAGTACTGTACACTATCAATAAATTGGATACTCCATCAATGAGCTGCTATTCAAGGATTGAGATCACGTTATGCCAATCACAATCAAATATAGATAGAACCAGACTATAGTCCAGACAATCATCAATTTATGTGACATAAACACTAAAATTCATTCAGACTATAAGTCTAGAGTAGAACTCAATGGTAGAAAAGAATTTATATATTAAATAGTTAGTAAGTTGAGTGCGAGCCCATCTTCGCTTAGTAGTATATCATATTTTTACTTTGACTAGCAAAAAAATCAGAAACATATGACTAACGTCGACAGTCTGTTGGTTAGGGTTGTCATACTTTACGAAAAGTATGACAGATGGGCATTCAATAAAAGAGACAAAAATAATATTAATAAAAATAATTTTAATGATAAAATCAACTAGTATGAAAGAAGAAAGATATAAGGGAAAATAAATTCGTTAAGAGTAAAATCAGTGAAATCATGACAAATCCATTCAGTACACAACTACATATGAAAATGCAGATTCGTTTGTATCGCTATGACCTATAAAGAGTTTGAAACACTAATTTCTGTAAAACATAAAGTCTTACCCAGTAAAGACACAATTATCAGTGAGACAGATTATTATAACGACATAGTCGTTTGAAGTTGGGGTCGGCAAGGTAATAGTGACCGAAAGTTAGAGACTTTGAATGAATGAATGGCTCAAAATCGTTTGTAATGTCGCAGATGCATCCATTGTTCATCTTCTCTCAAATTGAATTCCTCTGAATCAATCATCACGTTTATCCGTGTTTTTTAATGCTGATTTCACTAGATTATACTCCTTGAATAATGCCTTTCAAACCTAACTTCCCTATTACCGTTAATATTTTTTGCTACATCTACCACTATGGGATGTGAATTGACAATTCGATCTCTCTGTGCTAATGTGGTATGGTAACCTGGACTGATGTACGTACTTACGAACTTCTACGTTGTAGCTAATTGACTGACTGATAAAATTCAGTTACTGATTTGGTAATTCTGATATAAATAGCTGGTGAGAAATGAAACAAGTCACTTAACTAGTACATTTTTTTTAAAACTCTTCTATCCAGCTTACGTACAAAATGAATATGTATATCGCATTACATCTTGTAATTGTTAGTGAATCAAGACCAGTAGAACATAAAAACAAAACACGACAATAAGACTGCAGAAAAATAAAAATATGCACTGAATATATCCACATTACAATACAGATTGTCTATCAAAATAATTTACCTTGAATCCAAAAAAGTAAGTCACATGAGTGAAGAGTTCAAAAGAAAAATCCAACGGGATATTGCCGTTTCCTTGACTATGAGAAAACATAGATTTAGCAGCCTAAAATGATAAAAGACCAAAATTAGCCAAAAAAAACTAGAGAATTAAATAAATATTGCAATTTACGAGATTGTAAGAATGAATATATACTCCTAAGTAGGTCTGCGACAATTAGTGAAGATCACTGACTTCTGTTCCATTCTTTACTTATGTATTCTAGCCAAAGAAATAGTATGCATAACTTATACAGATTTCAGAAAATAGTTATAGGTGTATATAGAAAAAATAAAATAATTAAAACTACTCTAAACTGTTAGTTGATAAACGTCTAAATATTTCTAATATTGTCTTTTTAACATTACCTTAAGCAACTAGGTAGTGTAGGATAAGGCAAAAAATAATTATCCTCAAAGATCAAAAAGATTATATTGATAAATGATTCTCTTTAATAAATTATGCAAGCAAGTTTTCCAAAGAAACAGTTAAGGAAAATACAGTTCATTAAAATGAACATAAATTTAATTAGAATCATCAGAAAAATGAAAAATTACCTGTAGTGAGTTATTTGAACACTTAAGACTGTGAGATTCTTCTTTACTACTACTCATATGTTCCCTCAGCTGTATAGTCTATGTGAACAACTCACTATATAACTCAAATTTCCAAAAGATTGGTCGATCATAAATAAGACCAGTAAATATACCATGACTAACTTTGTGTATTCTGTCGATTCAATGGCTGATATCAATGGTTCTGGATAGATAATGAAATCTTTGTATATAGTCTTTCTCTTTACGAATGTGCCTCTTACAAGAAAAATTTTATCGCTATGCAAATATATCGAAAATAACATTAATATTGGTATTACAAGGTACTGTTTAAAGGAATCAATCCTACGCTGTAACTTTAAAGTATAATTCAGATTTAATGATTGGTTCTACAAACAAACTGATAGTGTTGCAATGGGAATTCCACTAGGTCCTCACTTATCTAAATACTTCATGGTTAATCTGGAGAATACTAATTTTTTAGTGGAAATTGGTGTCTTTCATTTATACAGGCGATATATGAATGATACGTTCATTATCTATAACGAAAATAGCAGCCTTTATAAAATGCTATGAGTCTAATATGTCCTCTAAATCAATTACAAATATACTGGGATCAGAGTTGAGTATATAACTGCAATTTCTCTGTGTTTTGCTATGAATATGTAGATACAAATATTATAAAGAAGCAAATACAATAGAATTATATTGGTATACTGGTAACAACAAGAAAGCAATCTGCAAAACTCACTTGGAATCCCATTTGTCTAGCTTGACTCCATAATTTCATTTGAAACCAATGTGGAGACCATGTCCAATTGGCGTATACACAGTCTCCAGCTGCATACACATCTTTTTGATTTGTTTGCATTTGTTCATTCACTAAGAGACCACCACCAAGTTCCATAGAAGCACAATTAAATAAAGCACCAAATGCAGATGATTCAATGGTTTCAGCTTCTTTATTAGTAATATTATTATTACTATTATTATTATGAGTAGTATTGTCCACATTGTTATCATTCCTGTTTAGTGGATTCAAATTCGCATCGACACCAACTGCACTTACGACTAAATCACAACCATAAATCTCACCGTTCGTTAACTCCACATAAACTGGCCAATTAGTAACGGCTGACCCACTATTATTATCATTGCTATTGTTAGCAAACGGTAAGGTTTCTGATCTGTTTAAGTCATGAAATTCTTTTGGAGATAAAAACTGCTTGACTTTGGTTTGATAAACTACCTGTAAGAAGTAGTTAATTGATGAATTTATTAATAACGAACTTTACAAATCATATATATTTCAAAAAAGACAATACTCATGATGAAAAAAAAACAACTTATATCACTAGTCAACAACGTAATTTAGCATTAATTTAACTCTACTGAGAAATACGTAACTTAAGGATGGTTGATTCAGCAAAGAGTTCTCTTTTCTGTGAATTCATTTTCAAAGCAGTACAATCGCAAAAAATATACTGTTTCTTTTCATAGTGATAATAAAAAAAATCCAACTAAACATGGTATTAGTGAGGCAAATTTAATAAAAGTATAAAATGTTATTTTGATTAAGGGAATGAAGAATGGTGGTCTAACAATGATTGATTGATGATTTCAAATGTGTAAAAACACAAACCTCCAAAACTCTGACCCAAAATATCGTAACAGTGCTCACTAGTGACTAGTTTCGTGAGGAAATTCTCGGAGTTCTAGTTGAGAAGACGTGACCAATGGAGTTCAACCATGTCAGGCGTAGGCAGTAACTACCAAAGACAAACGGGTGAGGTCGCGCGAAATCCGTAGATCAATCAGAGTTAGACGTTAACACCGTTGGATGCCGACCTAGTGGCCGAATGGTTAGACGTTCATGCACAATACCGAAGGTCCCGGGTTCGAATCCTGCGAGGAGCAGGAGTCGTGGATGCACACTGCTGATGAGTCCCATACCAGGACGAAACGGCCGTCCAGTGCTTTTAGGTTTCTAATGGTGGTCTAACAATGATTGATTGATGATTTCAAATGTGTAAAAACACAAACCTAAAAAACTCTGCCCCAAAAGAATTAAGAATTATGTTGTTGTTGTTGTTGTTGCAGACTTGAATATTCATTATAAATGTTGATAAGGAAATTATAATCGGAAAGGGAAGGCTCAACGTTCAAGGCTCAATGTTCAAATCGAGATGAATTTCAATCAGGAGAATCGTAGGAACAAAAAACAAATCAGCTTGGGTTAAAAATTCTATGTGGAATAGTATAGGAAAGGAATAGATAGCTGTGTATGTATATGTATACATATATTTTACGAGAGATCACGACCGAAAAAAGAGAACTCTGCTGAACGAATCTTTCTTATTTTATGTTTAAATGGGTATATTCTGTTTATTTAAAAGTATATAATTACATATTCGGCTTAAGGAATCCTGTTAAATAATTTGTAAACAGTAAAATGGACACAGATTAAGTATGTAATACTAATGAATGCATACTTTCAGTAGTCTACCATCAACGGTATTGGCAAGACACCCATGTAATTTGCGTCCATATGCCCAATCTGGACCTAGAGCAGCACCAGCGACTAATGATTTACTGACATTCAACTTATACGATTGCTGTTGATCAGGAACAAGCACAAGATGATCTTCTGGGGCTTTTGGATAATTTTCTGATTCATCATCTTCAGCCACAATATACCGCATGCGTCTGATTTGCGTATCCTCTGAGATCTCATCTCCAGATGGTTTGAAACTGGCTTCGGCTTCCTTCTTTACAGAATCGTTTTGCTTTGTGATTTCCCTTGCTTCCAATAAAAACGTAGCAGCTACTGAATCAAGAAATGGCGTACTAATGCTACTGTCTTTGATAACCCAGATAATTTGGCAACCAGAAACTTCATGCGCGATCTCCGTTGCTATACCTCCATTTCCAACCAATATCATACGACGAGTGCCTGAATAGAAAAGAGACAGAATGACTATGAGATATACTACAGTAAGTGTGATGATCTTCAATAATAGCCAGTTGGTCACAATTTTCATCACATAGATGGACTGAGACTAGTAAAGCAATAGACACGCATCTCGTTCTATTTGGAGCTTTTCAGCTTAACCTAAATGCATCTTGATGTTGATGATTACTTAGAGACTCGAATTCAGTGCCTTTTACATCAAACTCAAAACATGATTTAAAGAGCTACTGAGTACAGATAGGCACTCGCTAATGCAGCGGCTAGCTCAGTAGTCCATGCATGTAGTGTGAATGAAGCTGACCCTCTTTAGAAGCAAACGGTCGACTAATGAACTTGGCGAACCCCGGTCGTAGTTGCTAATATGGGGTGGTGTTTGGGTTTGCCTATCATGATGACCCAAACGAGCTATATTGGCTGGAACATACATCCCTTCAGGTTATACCATACCAGGCAAGTCAATTCGAGAAAGGTAAGACTAAAACCAACAAATTAAAGTCTGAAGGTAAAGTCGTACTGCGGACTGTAGAGGGGTGTGGAAGTAGTAAGACGTTTCCCTTGGAAAATCACCATCTACAGCGCTGCGACTTTTTCACAACGGAAGGAAGCGGTTAGAAAAAGACAACCCTAAAAACGCCACATCTGTCTCTCGAGCTAAGGCCAGTTGAAGAACGGGGATGACAGTTCCGAAACATGCCATAAAAGGGCTGTGCGTGACAGTCCTCAAGTAGTTTTCCCTTGAACTCCACGGTAACGCTATTGGGTCTCTAAGATCAACACTAACCCGATTTCCTTCCAAGGTTCATCAAGAAATACCCTTCCCTGGTGTGGGCAGTCGGAAAGTGACAATCACCCTCATATGCGTAACAGCACAAGAGACCGAATTAGTCTCACTCAAATTCTTCCTACACATCTTAATAACCACTTACCCCGAGACTCGTTTGTTCACCTACAATATACCGATTACACAGTCTTCTGACCAACCTAAGCAACAACACAGTTATGTAGTGGACGCGATTCGCCCATTCCAAACGCAAAATGTTGCTTCAGAGTTGGCTTGAACTAGTGATAAGGAGTGAAGTAGTTGAGCGTGTCAACCGCCTCACTCATCTCGGTTGTCTCATCAGTACTGATGGCCCGATATGTGAGGTTCATTGGCAGGGGTAGGACATCCAAACAGAATACAGGGATCCAGTCACCAAACTTAATTCGATAATTAACAGAAACCGGACAAAGTTTATTACCTCATGATATATCACATTTCACGATGTACATAAGTAATCTGAAGGTTTGCAAGTTGATGCGAAACCAAAACAGTCAAAATACTTACATCCATTCTCAATAATCAGTAATACAACTAGTACTCTAAATTATGCAAATGAAACTACTGTAATATTCAAAAACTACTTATTACAATCAAACTTGATATACATGTATATTAATTTTCAGCAATGATCACTCAATACTACGTAGGTCTACAAGGTAGATCAAATAGGTCACAGTTCTAGCTAGCTAATCGTTATTGAATAGCTGCATTATGTCATTGTTTTCACACAATAAGATTAAATCGTGTACATGATATCAATCAATGATAAAATTGGTAAACGAATGGGAATTTTAGTACAATCCTATTGAGAATTATGTACACTTACTTACCTAATAGACGATGTTGAAATGTTTTGATACTTTCCGTATCCCTTAGACCGATAACATATGGATTTTTTGGATCAATGAGTCGAGGAACACCGCCGGTCGTTAAACATAATTTATCATAAAATATAGGATTCTCATAACCACGTTGTTGCAAGTAAACAGTATGACTAGAAGGGCTGAATTCCGAAAAATTAAAAGAAAATAGTAAACAATTGTATAACTAACTAACTCTAAACGTCAGGAAATATGCTGTCTGGTCAAACAGTTATTATTATTACTGCTATTATTTATTAATATTATTTATTATGATTATTATTAACAGCAACACCGACTTAGCAATCGATTCAAATAGATTACACTGTGATTGGTCATTGCTAGTCATTTCTGACCGGAGCGAAGCAGATGGTTTTTATAAGGAATCACTCTTTAGGACTTCGACCCGTAGGCATATTGAAAAAAGTACTGGAACAATGTTAGACAGATCTATACACTAGTTTGCACGCTTCCAAATTAATAATGTGTAAAGCAATTATCGCAAATACACTACTTTTTGTGCTGTAGAGAAGATAAATGAATAATAACAGCTTCATACTAACATACGACGCGAGTATTCAGTGTGTGTCACAGTTATCTTTAGATTTATCTCTCACCGATCGCATCATAAGCTGTAAACCCACTATCCTTACTGTGGACAGTTAGCTAGTCATTAATAACGAGTGAGTGTAGTTTTACGTAGTCACTCCCAGATACAATCGATAGTAAAGATACGAATAGCACATTTCCGGTCAAGCCCTCTCTAAATTAGTCTGCCTGGACCCGACTGCAAATGCTACCTTGACGTGGTGGTCGGGTTTGCCTATCAAGATGACCCAAACGAGCTATATTGGCTGGAACACATGTTCCTTTAAGTTCTACCATGCCATGCAGGTCGATTGCTTTTCAGGTTCATCAAGAAATACCCGTCCATGGTTTGAGCAACCGGGAAGTGATATGCTCCCTCATACCTGTAACAGCACACGAGACCAAATTAATCACACACCTTCCTACACCTCCTAATAAATCTCTTATCGTCACGACTAACGCTTTTAACATTCCTTTAACATCTCGCCCCGCTGATGCAAACGTTTCGAGTACGCGAAACGTTATTCCTGGTTTCCTGAAACCTCGCTCTAAACTATATGTTGCAGCTTTTAATGTCCGGGCATTGTGAGAATTGGGACAACACGTTTCCTCAGCTAAGACCTTAGAATCTTGCACCGTCGATGTATGCTGGGTCTCCGAAACGCGCATACATGATCCGAGTAGAATAATTCATTTGACTTCACCTTGTCCAGAGATAAAACCGTCTCCATTTACACTCCGTGTATCTGTAAGCCCTACTACTGCTTCTCATGGCCTTGCTAGTGTAGGTATTGCACTGAGTTCTAAGGAAGAACTAGCTCTCGTACACTGGATACCAGTAGTGGTAGTCACAATAGGTAATCAAAGAAGTGTCTAAAGTAATTTGGTTTGATCAGTGAAGTAACGTATTCATGCACCAAAAAAAGGTATTGTCACAATCTGGCAATCGAAATGATATACAATAAATGTTTAGGTTTTGTTGGCCACCAATGTATCTAGTGTCACTGGGCTTCATGTAAACACCAACGAAATAAGTTTGAAGTAGGATGATAATTTACTGTTAACAGCAGTAAGTCACTTGACAAAGCTGTAACCTTTTATCACAACTAGCTCAGATATGTAATCCTTACTCTTAAAAGATATCAACCACTGCGTACGATTATAACTGTGGTAGGTGAAAAGTGAAGGATGACGTATATTTCAAACAAGTTGTAACTCTAATCAATGAAGTTAATAAATATCGGATTAGGTAGCATGAGAAATCTGGATTTACTTAATCGATGACACTGTTTATTCACATACTTTGTTTTACAAATGCTTGTCAGTCAGTTAATAAATAGATACACTAATCTACCAAAATGTGCAGAAATATAGTAGATTAACCAATTGAAAATGTAAAACTGTTATAATTGAACGATAAAAGGATATTTAAAAGCCACAGCCCAGTATCAAACTTACATTTTAATAATTTTCCTTATCAAAATTGTTTAACGCCTGGCATAACTAATACCAACAATCTGTATAAAATATCAAGTAGATAGAACTCACTCTAGTTTTATCATTGTGTCGCAAATTACAGTCAGCGTGCCAGGCCACATTTCTGACCAGGAACTAGTAGATTTCTCCTCAACATCGAAAGTTTCAATCAGGTTGCTTATTCGACATAGATTGATTGTGGTTTTCACAGTCTTAGAAGCAGATATTAATGCTACACGTTTAGGTACATCGTCTAAACGTTCTGATGGTGACTGAAGGGTTCCAGAAAATTTGCTCGGATTTAAAAGTTCACATAATGTTTCAGCACATACAACACCAGCAATCCCACCTCCAACGATAACATATTCAAAATGATTTAAATCCTTCGTACTAAAAGCAGAGGACATTTTTATGGAGAAAAGCCTAGTTAGTCTGGAAATGAAGAAATTAGAAAAAAATGAATGTTGAAAATTATCCATTACTGTGCAATAGAACCTAGTTAATACTTATGAATCGAACTGTTCACATTCGAAACAATAAATCTACCTATAAAAAAATAGCATTTACTCAAAATCCAGGATCCTAAGTAACAATAAAAAACTGATTATCTTTGAAAATCAATACAATACAACCATATTAGTACTAAGATACAATTTTCGAACAAAAACTAGTTAACCATTCAGTTAATAATGTATCCATTCAAATGAACGATTATGAAAGAAGTCAAGATATATATGATCAGCTGATATGTGGACCCGCAAAGAGAACTAAACGACGAATGAAGGAAGATTACATCACCACCATTCATTGATCAAATGACTTAGTGTAAGACTACCGCCCGTTCTGCAGCCTTTTCATATTCTCATCATGGTGCATTAAATAAATGCACTCTCATTTCATACTGAATGACAAAAAGTCAAGCAAACCTTTTAAAGTCCAACTAAGGAGTCAAAACTATATTTCAGGAGCTACAAAAGAAGCAGCTAGTCGTTCATAAAAGTTATGTTCATGAAGTCGTAGAGTGGCAACAAACCTAAAAGCAGTTGTGGAAACATGAACCAAATTTATCAATGACTTAAACTAAAAGGTTGAGAAAAACCAATAGATTTCAGTGGAGTCTACTGAAGTGATAGTTAATCTAAAGCTCATAACCTCTGACTCCGAACACGATCAAGATCGAAGACAACTTACATGTAAACTGACATAAAGTTTTCGCAATTGTGAGAAGTGGTGGGCAATGAACACATACATTAAGAAGGGAGGGACGAATTATGACACCTCACAACCATTCACACTTATTCCATAGAAGGACAAGTACAAGAATTTAAATGTTAGTGGGATGAAAAACGGAATCGTGACCAATTATCATTGCAGACTATTAGAATAATGGGAAAAATATCTCATAGTACGATTCAACTGGTTTCTAACCACCCTCTAGTTGCACCATCTCCACACAACTTGGATGATAAATTAATACAAGTCCCCTAACTCTTAGTAAGGTCAAAAACGTCATAACCAACTTGGAACAAACGAAAATGGCATGAACTGGTAGGCTAATTCTATAGGTCTTTAAGGACAATGGTGATCAGTTGACCAACATATTCTATGGATTTCTTTTAAAATTCCCCAGATTGATTCACCATCAGTTTTACTAAACTCAAAATAGACAGATGACAAAAATGGTCACAAAATGCATAGTAAATAGGTTCGTTATGGGCTTCTCTCCTTCCAAATACAAAACGGTGCAAAAGAACTAATTGATGTTAAGGAGTGAAATAGGTGAGTATGCTGACCACTCTACTTATCTCGCAAGTTCCATCAACACCAACAGGTTGATATCTGACAAAATCTCATCGCGTATTCAGAAAGCTCCCTTGGCTTTCACCTATTTGCGTCACTTGTGCTGTAAATGAGATGCCTATCTGCTCTCCATATGGGAAGTATAAAATGAGGCAATTTGCCTTGTACTATTCTTAGGATATGAAACATGGTCTATGAAAGTAGGAGACATGCACAAACCGCGAATCGTGTAACATAAGTGTCTTTGAACTATGGCTCGCGTATCATGAACCGACAGTGGGGGGGGGAACACAAGTTAGAGATAGGGCAAGTCTGTTGATGATAATGTGGATTATTGTCGACTGATGTGGTTGGAATATGTGTCACGTATCCTTAACCCTTGCATGTCTCGACGCGTGATCTTTGCTATTGCTTTTAATTGACCCTTGATGATTAAGTGAGAGGGATAATGATATTAAATGTTTGCACAAATAATAGACTGAGAAGGGTTCAAACGTGGAGATTGGTGGTCGGAGGTCGATAGTCTTAAAAGTACTATTAGTAGGTTGAACGATAGCTAGATTGACCAGGCCGAAACGTACCATGATGTATTGAAGTGATTAACCGCTAATTTGAACCATGTCGGAGACCTTCTGGGGTTATCACTAGTCCCAAGCCAGGATAAAGGAGGTTTAGGCATGGGGTTAGCAACCACATCTCACAGAAAACCCACTAGCTACAAAATCTAAAACCAAAAAAATAATTCATGCTGTTTAAACTCTGCCGTGAGAGTTGGAAGGTCTTTATTTAGAATATTTATTTATTTATGAAAACCGAGTTTCTTCATAAGTCACGAGCCCAATGCCTCTTCTAACGTGTCCTTTTATGGGTATGAGGGCGGACGTTACTTCCCGGCAGCCCACACCGTGGGAGGAGTCTGGTTGTCAAAAGGGGCATCGGCCTCGTGACTTCAGAAGGAACTGCTAATCAAGCTCTTAAAACGATGAGAACCTTATGGACCTAGTATCACCAAACCTTCCTTCAAAAAAAAAGAAAAGGAGAATTACAATGAATATCATTCAATGCTATGCGCCTACTAAAAATAACGATAAAAACGATAAAGACCGATCCTACGAGATGCTGCAGTCAATCGTCGAGAAATACCCAACAAACAACTTGACCATTCTGATGGGAAAACTAAACGCCAAGGTTAAAAATGTACAACACCAGTTATGAAGACATCATGGGACCACGTGGACTCCCAGAAAGGAACGAAAACGGTGAGAGATTTGTAAACCTATGATCATAGGCGACACCGTATTCCTACGTAAATGCATAGACAAATTCACATGGGTATCACCGGATCACACTACACAGAACCAAATCGACCATATCCGCATCAATACAAAGACGTGAGAACCAAGAGGGGAGCCAATATAGTTTCAGATCATCACTTGATAGAGGTGAAGATGAAATTAAAACTCAAGAAGCACTGGACAACTGAGCGTACAACATAACAAAATCTTGACCCACCCTTTCTTCGAGATACTGGTAAAGTCAATGAATTCAAAATAGCCCTCAACAGTAGGTTCCAGGCCTTTCACGATCTACTCAATGGAGAGGAAACTAAGATAGAGAACAACTGGAAAGAGATCAAGGAGGCAATCACTTCAACATGTCAGGAGATTCTACAAGAAGAACCATCATAGGGAATGGATCAACGCTGATACACTGGATAGGATTCAAGAAAGGAGGAACAAGAAGGCAGCGATCAATATCAGCTGAACAAATGCAGCGAAAGCCAATACACAAGCTGAATACACCGAAGCAAACGAGCAAGTGAAGAAGAGCATCAAAGTCAATGAACTTGAAAATATGTGGAAGATCTAGCGATGATGGTGGAAAGTCAGTCAGATGCAACGTAGAACTTCGTACGTAAGTACATTAGTTCATGTTGCCATACCACATCAGCACAGAGATATAATTGTCAATTCAAATCCAATAGTAGTAGATCTAGTAAAGGTATTAGAAGTAATCGGAGAGGTTAGGATTAGAAGATATTATTCAATAAGTATGATTCAGTGAGATAAGTTTAGAAAGGTGTTGAAGAATCCAGAGGATTAGGATTTGAGAAAACACAAAGAATGAATGCACCAGCGCCATTGCAAACGGTTTTGAGCCACGTCATTCAGGGTCTCTAACCATCGATTATTATCATCTCGCGGACTCCAACCAGGTAGTCGACAACTACAGACATGGCTCAGTTCACTTGTCGGAAAAGGCTGCAAGGGAAAGAAACTGAAGACAATTGTATGATACAACAAAGAAGCTCGCTGGAAATTACAGTAAACCAGAACGACCAGTGAAAAGCGAGGACGGCAAATTGAAGAACAACGAAACGGGTGAGTTGAACACTTTGAAGAACTCTTTAATCACTGGCCCCACTGAACCCACCCAACATTGAAGTAGCACCGACAGACCTCCCAATCAATGTTGGCCCACCAACAATTAAAAAGAACAGCATGGCCATCAGACAAATCAAGAGCGACAAAACAGTAAGACCATACAACATTCCAGCAGAGGCAATGAAAGCAGACGTCGCAGCAACTACAAAAATACTCCACATTCTATTTAACAAGATTTGGGATGAAGAACGAGTACCAACAGACTGGAAAGAAGGATACCTGATCAAAATACCAAAGAAAGATATCAGCAAGTGTGAGAACTAAAATCTATCCAAAGGGAGTGATCACAGTCACTGAAACCAATGATGAAAGAAGTAGACTCACGAGGACATAGCTTATCTATCAATTTAACTACTCAGGAACTGTTGTTTAAATCATGGGCATGTGTTCCAAAATTCTTCATCAGCTAGTGTGACAGTAAATACTTACTTACTGCCTACTTACGCCTGTTACCTCCAATGGAGTACAGGCCGCCGACCAGTTTTCTCCAACTAACTCTGTCCTGGACTTCCCTTTCCAGTTCTGTCCAATTTTTATTCATTCTTCTCATATCTTTCTCTATGACAGTAAATAGTGAGTGTATTTATGAGAAAACCAGTTTTTCGATTGTCGGAGCGTAATCCAGATACCCGGACCCAACCATTGAAAGATTTTAAGAAAAGGTATCTAGAACAGCGAGGGCTTATAGTATTAAAATTGATATACTGACCAGGGAAGAATTTTACAGTTTTTATGAGGTTCATAATCCTCTAATATGTAAATTTCAAGACGCTAGGGGCTATCTGTTTAAAACTGATTCACGAGAATTAGAGATATCTGCTGATCACCACCCAAATCTTTATTACTATTCATTTGTTGTCTGCGAATTTTTATATTTTCTCATCTCACTTAGGGCTTTAGTATCGTATTCGTTATTAAAAACAACAGTAGTGAAATCAAGTCGTGACAATATCCCCCAGACGAAGCTACTTAATAGGTGAATACAAAATAAAGTGTGGAAAATTCTCATATAACCATTTGAACGCTGGAATGGCAAAAAGATCTGATAAGCTATATGTTGCAAATAAGTTGTAAAAATAACAAATTCGATAACCGAAAGACTAAGATATAAAATTATATTATTTAATCCATATTTCCCTAGAAACACAAGGAGGCAGTACAATAGAAGCATAGATTAGAAAAGGTTCGAAAAGTATACAGTGTTAAACATGCTGTTTATTATCTTCATCACATATCTTCTGAACCCCACTTCTAAGAAAGGACATGCGCATATCAATATCACGAATCATTTCTGTCGCTCGTTCCACTTTGTAGGTAGTAAGCGTACGATAAAACAATATAGCGAAGACAACGAAAACGAGCATCGCTGGTATCAAAACAATTGTTGCGGCTATAGCAGATAGATTACTCACAGACCAAAATTTAACCCAGCATGCTAAAGTTACCACAGCTAAAAACAAAATGATGCCAACAACAGTACTGCATACCCACGCAACTTCAACAAATCTATAAGGGAAAAGTGGATAACTGATGTAATAAATGATATCTTACGTTCTTAATCTGTTGTGTGGTGCCTCTTCAATCAAATAACAATCCTGAGGGACCGTGAATGAGTCAATATGTGGCAAAATGCAAGTACTTATCATTACAGCCATGATATGCACGACAACGAGAAGACATGAAAGAACCGTGAAAGCAAACAACAATCCTTCGGGTGGTTTACCCTCACCAACGACAACCTAAACCACTTATTTACAGTCAGTGTTAGAGTAACCTGCAATTCAATGATTGCAACCATAGCGAAACCAGCTAGCAACGCAGACACTCGACTAGTTGCTTTTAGCTTTGCTCGACTCAATTGTAAGTGTCTTCGAGCTAGCAAATACGAACCTGGAAGAGTTGAGGAAGTAACGTTGTCCGAACTCATTGGAAGTCCTAACGGGAAAAACAAAACAAGTTGAAATTCACAGTAAGGCTCACTGAAGAGAGAATGACATGTAATGTTAAGTAGTCTTTAAAAAAACATTCAAATGTCTTCTGATGCTTTGTAGAAAAGTCAGGCTTCAGCGACTATAACTTCGTTCTAATACAACGTAAATGATCTCAAGAAATGATGTTACTCTTCAAATATCCTCTCTGCCAATTAGGTCAAGCTAACTTAAGAGACATGACACGGAAGTTCCAAAGGCACGAGCCAACAGAATCAACTATTAAGACAGGTTTTCCCACCGAGTAATCAACTTTTACAATCTACTACTGGGAGAAGTGTCATCTGCACCTTTAACTAACTTTATCAACAGAATAAATAGTAGCTTGGTAGAAAAGAACGAACACGCGTCTTTAGCCTTTACCACAAAAATGAATCTCCAACTCAAAAACAAGGAATCAAACAATTTCTGTGGAACCTTGCGCAAGTTTTGACATACTAGTACCGAATAAATGATCAAAACTCAAAGCTAATTAATTTTCTCAAGGAACAACTACTTCATAACTAATATATCACATTTGGTTATGAGAGGATTACGAAGTGCAATTAAAATGTTTAGACATATTTGAATCAAGTTATTGCTAAAAAGGACTTTATCATTTGCGTAACTAAATTAAGAGATGCTTTTTAACCTGACTGAAACGTGTCTGGGTAGTAGACCGATTCATGAAGGCACTCTTCAAACCCCCAACTTTGGGACAAAGTCGAAAATTTTTGTGTTGGGAAAATGAAACAAAGGACCTAAAATACATCCATCTGAGGCTTTTCCCGAAATTCACTCAAAAGAGTGGTGGAGCCTCCTGAATCGTTTAGGATGGAAAATCCTGTATTACTTTTGTGATACAGCAGTCAGTAATATGGATCAGGATCAGTTGCAGTCGTAAGCAAACGCACTTCTTACTGTCGACCTATCGACAATCCAGCAAGCTGCTTAGCTGTAACACAAACAGCAACCGAAAGTCAATAACATGGGTGAACTGACAACTTTTATCTGAACAATTTACCCTCATATCTTAGATTATTCATTGTAGTGGAAGGAAAACGCTAAGTTCACCCATTAATGGTCAGGCTAGTGTCATATATTACAGTTACCACATCAGAGAATTTTTCTCACCAAGTGGGGTCAGTCACAATGCAAAAGACTTGGGATTAAGTATAAAAAGATTCGCTGGAGTTCTGAGTCCAATTCTTCACATTAGGGTGAGGGTTTTCATCACAAACCGACATCAGCTATGATACAATGCTTGTCACTCTACTGTTTACAAACTTAGGAGACCTATAATTGAGATTTAGAGTGGGATTTATAAAGGTAAAATATAATCTAACTTCACTAAACGCCACTGACAACGTATTGAATCATATCAAATACTTCAGAGTATGATAATGATCATACGATCTAGGTCGGTAACAGCTACGCTTGATAATTTAGCCTAATCACCATCTGAAATGAACGTTTCGGCTTCATGACAGAGGCGTCCGTTGATTTCAAGCATTTTAAGGACCATGTGTTGTCAATTCCTACTTCATAGATAATAACTCACTAGTCACTTTAAATTTTTGCGCAACATACGTGAGAAGCTACTCTAATTCTGATTGGTTCACTCAAGGCCTTCAGCATATTGTATATCTGCCTTCTCCTACTTGTCATCGACTCCTAAGGTCATTATTTATTTCGACCTACTCTGTCCTCCAGTTTTCCAATAAGGCTGTTTCATATCAAAAGATTGTTTACTGTTTCAATTAAGAGTAAATTGTTAGTGACATGTGGTGGTATACTTTCACGAAGATAACACAGTATTATATTCTATTCCTTTTGTTTATCTGCACCAAAGACTATCTCTCACGAGACAAGCGTTTCATTCCCATTCCGCTTCCCTCCTCGGTGGTTGTTAGCGGCTTCTTTATTCCGGTCTTGATATTATTTCGATATCACAAGACCACGGAACAATATAATTCTTCACCCAGAAATTATTAGCGTTTTGATTTCTGGATCTATCGGGATTTAACTTGGTAACCGCGCGAAGAAAATTAATTAACATTTGCGCTTGAATTAGTGAGCGATGACAATAAACATGCATTAAATACGTTGGGTCTGTCATTTCTCCATCCACTTTTCGTACTATTTTAACTGTTGTATTAGAGGACTCCCAGATACAGTTCCTCAATTTTCGACCTGACACTTTTATCCCCCATGACCCGGAGGTCTTGTTCAAGGCACTGAAATCTCAGTTTAGGATCCTCCGCATCACGAACCAGAGACAAATGTTTGCCTGTGCCCTGGGGTCTCTCTCTGGGGACCACACAGGCGCTGTTCGTTAGATAATTCTCAGTTCTACTGTGCCTCATAAATACAGTCGTCTAAAACCGGCAGTTCTCAGACATTTCCTCTCATCGAGGGGGGAACGCTTGAGAACACTGTCATCATGTCACCCCATGGTTGGTGCTAAACCCAGCCACCACCTAACGCGCTTGCAATCCTTGGCAGGACACCTGACAGCCGACTGTGATATAGTCAGGGAATCGTGACTCGAGGCTTTACCAGAACATATGCAGCCTACGATCACGGCTCTGAGTGAGGACACGCCACTTAACAAGGCTGCCCTCATAGCAGACAATATGGTTGTGCGGATTAGCTCGCGAGACAACTGCATAGTTGCCTCCTCTGCGGTTCATTTTTCCATAATTTGAATTCCTTAGTTTGATTGATGCATTAAAACGCGCTTTGTATAAGAAGCATGATTACAGAAGTATTAGTAGTTCAACCGAACTTCGCAACTCAAAAAGATGATGTGTCTTGTGGATAATTCGTTATAAAAGTGGACTGCTGTTGCTACATCCTGCAAGCCTCATGCAGTTTCCATAGAGTTAAGAAACGGTGAAAGTTAGTATCAGTGAAAATTACGAATTATATAACTTACAAGTTTACAGGACTTCGAACTAGTTGGTGTTATGTATTGCAAAAAAGTTACAATCAAAGTATATTGAGACAGGGCTCACACATCGCATGCAAAACTTGGGTTACTATTGATTTCGAAATAGAGTCCTTATTTATTTCATGTTATACTGAGTATATGCATTTTTTAATATTCGACCAAAATTTATGGTTTTAACACTACAACACGACCTCATCTTATTTTCGGTGAATTAAGTTGTCAATGGTAGTCAATCCATCTGTGCGGAATGTTTGGACTAGGTCATTGGCGTCTGTTAACATATTCCTTCCAATATCCAATATCTTTTTCACGAGCTAGTGTAAACCAATTTGATTTCTTCGCGCTCGATTCTTGTTCTTTCGGAACGGTTCCAGGTGTTCGGTAATGTCCAATGGATGGAGGTCTAGCCACTCGACTTTCTAATTTTAGTCAGTTGGCAGTTGGTTGTGAGTTTGGATGGCTCGGGATTTGAATGAAACGTTTGTTTCAGGGCAGTAGGGTTTCTGAATATCAGAAGCCGTCACATTACCAAACAGGAGATCAGTTAGTTGCAATGTGGAGAGTAATAAGGATAATAAGGATAAAATTAAAATGATAATATGAATAAAATTTCAGAACTGAGTAATATACGGATGAATTTAGTTTGTTATTTGGTAGTGAAGATTGTGAGAGAGGACCGGGGTGATAGCACCAAGCTGTCTTCGCATAAAGTGAAGAGTCGCAGTTGCCTTGGCTACATCCCCCACATAGTTTGGACTGGTGTGGAGGCTTTCTGTGGTTATTAAACCAAGATCGCGCTCTGAGGAGACATTAGGGAGCGGACTTCCATTGAGAGTATAGGTCGTTTGCGTCATATGAGGCAGGAAATGCATGACGTGGCACTTCGGTTGGTTGAGTTTTAAACCGTTTTCCACTGCTCAGTCGAGTCCTCTTCGCTTCTAATAGACCTCCAGATCTTCACATCGTCTGCGTAGATCAATGCCGGTGAGCTAACTGACCCTAGCAGGTCGTTAATAAATATCAGGAAGAGGAGTGGGCCTAGGATGGTCCCCTGTGAAACTCCCTATGTGGATACTCTCCAACTCGCGTGCACTCTGTTTACCTTGGTGCGAAACTTTCTATTCTCAAGGTAGTTTCTGAGCCAAAGTAGGAGTGGGTCAGTGAAGCCCATTTCCACAACCTTTTCGATTAGGCGTGCTTGGGGTACTGTGTCAGAGGCTTTTGCAAAGTCGAGAAATATTACGTGCACCGGTATTTTACGGTCCAAGCAGGATGTCCAAGTGTCCCATGGGATGAGAAGATTAGATGCACACGACCTGCCTTTCCGAAACCCGTGTTGAGCTTCATGGAGTATTTTATTCTTATCCATGTACTCCCTCATTTGTTCGTCCACTAGTCCTTCCATAACCTTTGATAATATAGGTAGTAGTGCGACTGGTCTGTAACAGGCTGGGTCCTTTCTATCTCCTCATTTGAAGATTGGAGAGAGTAGTTTGTTTCCATTCAGCTGGGAATTGGTGTGACTCCAGTGAATGCTTGAACAGGTTGCATAACGGTGAACAGAGGACTTCAGCACACTGTTGCAAGAACATAGGGCGGATTTTGTCACAACATAGTGACTTGTCTGGGCGTAAGGATTTTAGTTTCCTTAATACTAGGTCAGGAGTGATACGGATGTTCCCTAAGCCGTCAGCTGGCATTGGGTTGGCGTAATACTCTGAACGTGTAGGCGCCTGGATTAATTGATCAGCAAAGGTGAATCTGCCACCGATTCTATTGATGGGTATTAAAAACGAAAGAGGTCCTAGTACACCCGCACGCATAACCAAACTAATTTACTCAGGTGCTGGTGTCTTCGGGTTGACTTGGGTAATTTGGTACTAAACATCGAAGAATAATTTAAGTCATGGAATATAATTCATCGTATGATTCACTTTGTGATAATTTAAGGTACGCCATAGATATGTCTTACAAAGTATTAACGCCATTTTACTTGATTCGCGACACTGCCTTTCGTCTTCAAGGAAACCAATATGGCAAATCGTTCGTCAACTAAATTCCAAAAAAATTGTGTTGTGATTTATAATTAACATTTTGAACTGGTATATATCCGGTCAATCCGCTGTTTGCAATCTTATCTAAAACTGTCTACATAACTGGAGTGATAATAATGAGCCTGTGATTAGTAGGATTCGATCTGTCCTTAGGTTTGTATTGCGTGATAATGTAGCTTGACTTCTTTGACTCGGGTAGCCGTTTGTATCTGATGTCATCGAAATATCTTAAGAAACATAGGTGAGTAGTCATTGCTACATCTTTTCGATAACATTAAAGGGATACCTTCAGTTTCTGCGTGTGTTCAGATCTTGAGACCTTTAATTAATTCAGATATATTTTTGTTACTAAAAAATATGCTTACAAAGCTATTGGGTATTAGTGTTTTGTCTTCGAGGGTAGCAGGTTTCTGCTTACCAAAGTTTGCGAAGTTGCTAGACAATTTACATGTATTCGTTGGGTCATTATAGACTGTCGCTGTAAATAAGGAACTGAATATCTTTTGGTTTATTCATGCGTTTATTCAGATATAATGTACGCCTGTCTGTCTTGGAGCTTCTTTTGAGAGCGCCAAGCGTTTCTTTATTATATTTTTGGGGACGTAATAGCTTAACAGCTTCTGAGAAAGTGAGAATGGAGAGCCGAAAAGATTTGGGATTATCTGAACATTCGTACACTTACCTTATAAACCCTGAACCTCATCCATGAATTACGCTAGGACCAGCTGATGATCATTATGACAACTCTACTACATCGCCATTTGTTATACCAGAAGAGGTACTGTGCCAACATATACTAAGATCTCAACTCAGCATAAACATTAGTATGATCTTGTGAAGCCGAAGATTAAAAGCTCACAGGCCAAGGCATCGAGTTACTTATCCGACAACGATCATAACACCATGACTAAGCGGATACTTTTTATTAAAACAATAGATGTATGACTACTCAGACCTTTTTGTTTATGCAACAGATCACATACTGTACACCTGAGTTTATGTAAGTTAGTAAAGGCAAGTCAGTAGAAAGATAACGAATGGGCAAACATGAATAGAAGAGATTCGATAGAAATAAACTCATAAAAATAGTGTAGAAATGAGCTTCACTGATTCACTTCCATTTTGGCTCAGGAACTACCTTGAGAATAGAATGTTTCGCATCAAGGTATGTAGAGTGCATGCAAGTTGGCGAGTCTCAACATCGGGAGTCTTACAGAGGACCATCTTAGGTCCACTTCTCTTACTGATATCCATCGGCGATCTGTAAGACAAATTTCTCCCGGAGGCATTGATCTACGCAGAGGATGCTAAGATCTGGAGGTCCGTTAGAAGTGGAGAGGATTAGACTGGACTTCAAAAGGAATGGGCAGTGAAAAACGGTTTAAATCTAAAACAGTCGAAATGTCACGTTATCTATACTCTGCCCCACATGACGCAAACGACTTACTTCCTCAGTGAGAGACTGCTCTCTAATGTCTTTCCGGGGCATGTTCTCGGCTTTATAACAACTGAAACCCTCTTCACCAATTCAAACTATATAACGGAATCTCAGGTTCGGGGACCCTTTTTTCTCACTAAGATCCGTTGCAACCACGGACTAACAAACTGACAAACAACTGAAGCTGACTAGAATTAGTAAAGTCGAGTGACTTTCAAACTATTCACTGGACACTATTAAATACATTGAACCATACTGAAATAACAGGAACTGAATGCACTGAAATGAGTCGGTTCATACTAGCTTGCGGAAAAAATATTGGATTTTATACATTGGCAGTTATTGACCTTCGTTTGGCGGGCTATTTGTTAGACATTTCAACTGTTCGGGCTATGAATTTCCTGAGTATACCTTTGAAGAAGTCCGCTTCTCTTGATTTATTTAATCATTTCAAACAATTAATTGCCCTCCAATACGATGCAGATACTGCAAACGCGTGCTCTGACGCACTTACTGAGTTGGCCTGCATGCGAAATGTCTCATGCGTCAAAGGCGATACCTACAATCCAACAGTGGAAGCAATCGCAGCGTAAGTTAATTATCACTGGGAACTCTTTTCAATTTTTTTTCTCGTTTTCTTATTTTTTAATAGATATTGTAGACGTATTGTCGTTATTTAGGAATTCCTAAATAATCCACTACTCTTTCCTGGTTTCATTGCTACTAATTCGTCGTCTCTTAGTTTGGTTTTCAAAATATTCTAGACAAAAATGGTTTTCACTAGCTTTCTGAAAATCTGCGGCTATTATAATGCGCTTGACAGTACTAAGTTTCTCGACGTGTCTTTAGAGATTTACTGTTTTAATAGATATACTCCATATACGCTTGTCTAACATTCGGTGTGATGACATAACCACAGTTTTCAGATAGTTTCAAAGCGATACTGATCATCAAAACAAACAATCTCTAGTAATACTTGTGAATATGTTATAATAACCAGGTTACTGAAGTAGCATGAGAATATTAGCTGTATTATGTAGACGGATCATATTCAAGGCAGACAAAATATTATTTCGATGGTCGTCCTGCGAAATCTCAAAATGGATGTTTATGTACTATAACTGATAAATAATCCAACCTATTCTTCACGCTCATCCCCTCAATGTGTTTATTTTCTCTAATTTTACTCATCCGGTCGGTATGCACATTTCGAAGGAATATAATCTAAATTAGTACTTCTAGTTAGTTGTAGTTATCATTGAAGAAAATCGAACAAAGTACTATTTAAACAGGACTGTTCCATGGCTAGAATGTTTTTCTAGTTCTTAGCTCATCTAGCTACTTAGGAGTTCTGCTATATGAAGGACTGGGTAGAAATATTGCTTCTAAAACTACACTATTTCCTGTTGAAGGTACGGATGGCTCTTCACTAGGTTACTCCTAGATAGCATATGATCAGCCTCTTACTCTCCATGGTCGTTCATATTCCAAATGTATTTGTCAGTATTACCACATTTCAAATCAGTACTTACATGCTTACGCCTATTACTCCTGATAGAGTTTAGGCCCCCGGCCAGAATTCTCCAAACTTCTCTGTCCTGGGCCTTCTTCACTGTGTCCTGTCCACTTCCAGCGCTTCTTCCTGATTTATTCCTCCGTTTGCCCAACTATAGCTGTTACCTTGAGTAGTGGTCTGACTTGTCTATCATATTGACCCAACCGAGCTATATTGGCTGGAACATATGTTCCTGTAAGTTCTACCATGCCAGGCAGATCGACTGGAGAACGATGAGACTAGAAAAAACTACTCAAACTTCAGGGCGAAGTCGTACTGCTAACCAAAGAGAGGTGTGGCAGCAGTAAGATGTTTCCCTCGGACAACCAACATCTACAGCTATGCTGCCTTCTCACTAGGAAGGGGTTAGAAAAGGTCGACCTTAAAAATGTCACATCTCACGTTACCACACGGGTTTCCATCTCCGGCGGTAATGCCTTACAAACAAGAACGGAGGTAACACTTCGAAAACTTCTCATAAAAAGGCCGTGTGTGACCGGCCTCAAGCAGTTGTCCTTAGGGCTCTGCGGTCACGCTCCCAGGTTGTTAAGATCAACACTGATCTACCTTCCTTTTCAGCTTCTTCAAGAAACACCCACGGTATGGGCAGCTGAGAAGTGACATCCATCCTCATACCTGTACCAGTTCACGAGACCGAATCGGTCACAATCAAACCCTTCCTACATCCTTTAACATCCCCCTTATCTCCACGACTAAACGTCTCACATCCCTTGAACAACCTACACTGCTAATGCAAACGACTCAAGTTCGCGAAACATCATTTCTGGTCCCTGAAACCCCGTTCTAGACTACATGTTGAAGCTTTCAATGTACGGACATTGTGTCAAATAGGACAACAGGCTTTCTTAGCTAGGCATTTATAATCTCGCGTCATCGATGTATGCTGCGTCTCGGAAACGCGCATACAAGATCCAAGTGGCGTCATTCACTTGACCTCTCCATGTCAAGATAAAGAAGCAACTCGTCTTACTCTTCGTTTATCTGGAAGCCCTTATGGCGCTTCTCGCGGTCTTGCTGGTGTAGGTATAGCATTGAGTCGTTGGGCAGAACTAGCTCTCTAAGACTGGATCCCAGTACACGGTCGCTTGTGCGTTGTCCGAGTGAACTGGACAGAAAAGACTAGGGCAGTCGCCTTTGCCTCTCCGTCGTATCTATCCACGCGCCCACTGACTGCAGTTCAGACGAGATTAAAGATGAGTTTTACAGAAAGATTTCGGACCTCCTCCAAAAAGCTAAGCGCTCAGATGTAGTAATAATGGCTGGTGACTTTAATGCGCAAGTAGATAGACTGAGTGAAAATGAAAAACACCTAGGTGGATGTTATGTTGTCGCTGCATATCGAACGGACAAAGGCGACCGTCTGTTGCAAGTATGCTCAGATAACCGCCTATTCCTAGCAAATACTAACTTTAGGCATAAGGAAAAACATCTTTCGACCTAGCGACCCCTAAAGTCGTCTCAATGTTGGCCCCAACTAGATCAAATTGCCATCAGCCACCGATGGAGAGGTTCGATAGAGGACTGCCGCTCGTTCTGGGACAAAAGTTTAGATTCAGATCATGCCTTAGTGCGAACACTGTCCTGCAAAACATGGTCGATGGGAGTAGAAGGCATTCGTAGGTTATCAGTATACGATTATAGATGTCTTCGAAGCATTGCTCGTATATACTGAGACAACCGAGTAAGCAATGCTGTCGTTAGGAAACGAGTGCTAGGTAATGATGGCAGGTCAATACATGAAGTATTGAAACCTGAACTGATGTGTGTACGTACGTACTTGTATCTCGTCGGATTATGAAACCTTCCTTTCTGATATGGTCTGTTATGGGATGGTCTGAAACGTTAATAATTGATACATTTTTATCTGCATCAAACTATAAATTCGTATACGTTTGTTGTGGAAGCTGAGGCTACTAAAAAAATTGGCCGAATTAGACTAAATATCTCCCTCTTTGGTTTAAGGATTCTTGGTTTGCGATTCTCTGGTGATACAGTTCGATGGTTTCAGCAAAGTGTTCTATTTACCTTCAACATATTTTCCTAGTTCCTTCAAATGGCAACTAGTTTGATCTCTATTAGAGTATGGTGCTGTTGATGGTTTCTAGATGATGGGCTGGTATAAAAAACAGGACTTTTAACCTTAAAGTATAAAATTTTGACTTTGGCGTTGGCTGATAGCCGAGGGTGGGGGATCTCCTCTCTCGTATATATAGCCACTTCCATGCAAGTCTTATTCGCTGCCCTCGTTGTGTGGTTGTTGTTTATAATGTTAGGAAAATGAATGTTCGACGCTTAAACCAGGTCGGTGAATGCCTTTTTGTAGTCAGGAAAGTTGATTTATGATGATGAATTCCATCCATTCCTACGAAAACTAGCTTTTTAATATCCTATTCGAAAAGATATCGGATGCTTCATTCGGTTCAGTAACGCTATTGAAAAGTACCCGACATTTTTGGTAGCGTGATGCCTTTTTAGTTCTCATATCTACTTAGATCTTTCTTCTTAAACTTTTTAAGGTATCCTTCTTTTCAGTCTGTTGTTACTTGTTCTTCCTCCAAAATCTTTCTGAATATTAGGTGAAACATCTTTCCAGCTGCCTAAATATCTGACTTTAATAACTCAGCTGGTATGTTGTGTAACCTTGTTGCCTTGTGATTCTTGATTTATCTAAAAGTTAACTGATTCCTGTTGTCAATGGGGTACTTTATATATGGTCCACCGCGTGCCTTACTTCGATGTCCGGTGGGTTTAGTAGTTTTCGTTTTTCGAAGAGCCTTTCAAAGTGATTTACTCATCTGTTTCTTTGCTTTTGAACCTCAGTGATCGGTTCCCCTTCTTTATTCCTGACTGGTTGCTTAGGGCATCTACATTTCTCAACAGGTTTTTGGTTTTATAGTATGGTTCTTTCATATTTCCTGTTTTAGCTCTCGTTGTCTTTTCCCAGGTTATTCACATATTTCCGCTTAACAGATCTAATGCACTCCTCTACATGTTTGTCTACTTCATATCCAGCATATGCCTTGGTTTTCCTTACTTTTGACTAATATTTCCCGGATTTTTCTTTCCTGAATCGTGCTCAAAACATCGATCTATTCTTTATGATTATTCTTCTTGGGGCCTAACACTTAGTATGCTGAAGTTGTTGTTTCTTTAATCCACTTTCAATTGTTCTATGCAATGGTTTCTTCTGATAGATCTTGTGAAACTTAGAACTTGTTCCTCAGCTCTATCTTAAACTGTCTCTCTTTGCGCATCGATACGATATGTAGCGAATTGTGTGAACGGCGAATTTCCGTAAAACCTGCTTTGTTTACTCTTATTTATCCAATAACAATGCTCATTCTGAATTTTCTGTGTAATTCCTCCAATTATTTGTGTAGATACCATGATGCGCTGTATCAGCTAGAAGGCCGTATAAATGTAACTCTTGCTTCACGAGTAGATTTTAAGTGGAGCGATATTGCTGGAAAAACTACCAAGAGTAAGTTCTTATTTGGTATTAATTTTCTTTTTGCAATAGAGGAAAGCACGCTCAAATTTGAACGCTCAAACCTCCTATTTTGCTATGGTGCTGCTCACAGTCAACTTGGTGAATCGTGCCGTCCTACTTGTGAAAATTCACTCCAACAAGCTTTAAAATCTTTCAAGGTATCATTAGTTAAATTCCTTTATAATAGGGTAAAGATATATATATATATATATATATATATATATATATATATAAATGGTAATATGTCAAGTCACTCAATTGCACAGTTCTCTAAATGTGTACTTATGTTGAACCAACAGGTAGCAGTCATAAACTGTCCAACTCTGGCTCTTTCACCTACTTTTATAATTGGGATAATGTTCGCAAAACACAACCAGACCATAAGGTGGTGTGTCTTGCTGACTCGGTGTGTCGCTAGTCTCCAGATAATGGCAGTAAGACAATCGTACAGACGTCTTTAGAGTCACAGACGAGATGAAATGTTTTTCGAAATGCTTTGCCTAATATTGAAGACATTTTCGGGAGTTGCTGACTTAGATGCCACCAAAGTAAACGATTGTTTCGTTGATCCGGAACTACTTAATGCCACTGGCTGGGATGATTCAAGATTGCTTCTGAAGGTTTACCTCCATCTCGTTAGCATTCTCCAACTAACACGTCTCTCAGTTTCCACTCAAAATTTGTGACATTTTTTGAGATAGGCACCTATTTGTACTCTTAAATTGCCGATTTAGCTCAGTAGACTAATTTTCCTGCGAGACATTGTAGGAAACATTCATCAACTCATATTTTACAAGCGGGACATCCTGCGAAGCTGCAAGTGGCTTTAATCATCATTTCAGTACGTTATTCGAATGCAACAAATGTTCATCTACTGAAATTTGCAGCTAACCTTGAAGCTAGCTTCCTTTTTATATTTGGTTGCAACAGAAAGTGTAGCCGTTTTGTTTATATCGATCCTTAAGCGACGATAAATTTGTTGACCACCTCAATGGACATAAGTTTAAAGCATGCCTAGCCAGAATTCAGATAGGTTCTCCAAAAGGACTAGTCAATTCGAGTCCAGGCATAAGCTCTAGGAGGATACCAAGTAGCACATCGACAACAATTATGATTGTCTTTTGATGCAGAAGGCGGTCACAGTCATCTTACCAGCGACCTATTGCAGTGGCTATCAAGGTGTTTCCTTTGTGCCTGAACTCCCGATCTGTGCATTCGAATCCCGAGCTAGTACTATAACATCAATTTTAACTCGGTTTATTGACAGGATTTAGTCGTTGGCAGAACTCATTGTTGATTAGATCCGGGTTGCAAGCCATCGGTGTTTGGGTGAAGATTACTAAGTTACTTTGTCTTCCGTTCATGTTTTCTTTTGATGTATTCTTCCAGTTTAAGACTATATAAAAGATCTTTGATGGCAGATCTTACTTCTGATTGCTACCTTCACTCTAGTGTTTAAAGTATGATGGTCTATCAAAATTGATCACTGACCTCACAATGTCCCCAAATAATCCCACATCGAACAAATGTTTTGAATCTACAGATAAAAAGGAGTTTATAGTACTTCACTAAATTCTTGGAAAGAGGTCTCAAATAGCCTTCCCATTAACATTATTGAACCTGTTTGTTTCCCTTTCTGGATCATGATGCGAGTTTGGAAGGAGTTAAGTTTAAATAGCATCCCCAAAGCTTATGTAGTGGAAGTATGAGCAGTCATCGGAAAGATCAGGGTTCGAAGATATTATTCAAGTAGTACAATCCAATGAAATAGATTTAAAAAAAAGAGAAAGATAAATGTGATGAGGAATTCTGAACATTACTTACTTACTTACTTACGCCTGTTACCCCCAATGGAGCATAGGCCGCCCACCAGTTTTCTCCATCCAACTCTGTCCTGGGCTTCCCTCTCCAGTTCTGTCCAATGTTTGTTCATTCCTCTCATATCTTTCTCTATTTCTCGGCGTAATGTATTCTTTGGCCTTCCTCTTTTCCTTTTGCCTTGAGGGTTCCATGTGAGGGCTTGTCTCGTGACGCAGTTAGGTGCTTTTCGTAGTGTGTGTCCTATCCACTTCCACCGCTTCTTCCTGATTTCCTCATCCACTGGAATCTGGTTTGTTCTCTCCCACAGTACGTTGTTGCTGATGGTGTCTGGCCAACAAATCCGAAGTATTTTGCGTAGACAGCTGTTAATAAACACTTGTATCTTCTGGATGATGGCTTTCTTAGTTCTCCATGTTTCCGCTCCATACAGTAGAACTGTCTTGACATTTGTATTGAAAATCCTTATTTTGGTTTTGGTTGAAAGTTGTTTGGAGTTCCAGATATTTTTCAACTGTAGAAATGCAGCCGTTGCTTTTCCAATCCGTGCCCTCACATCTGCATCGGATCCACCTTGGTTGTCGATGATGCTGCCCAGATATGTAAAGGTGTTGACGTCCTCCAAGGCATCTCCATCAAGCGTGATTTGATTGGTGCATGTTGTGTTGCATCGGATAATTTTGCTTTTTCCTTTATGTATGTTGAGACCTACTGCTGCAGAGGCTGCTGCTACACTGGTCGTTTTCTCTTGCATTTGTTGTTGAGTGTGCGATAGAAGAGCCAAGTCATCTGTGAAGTCCAGATCGTCCAGCTGCGTCCTAACTGTCCAGTTGATACCGTACTTCCCTCCAGACGTCGACGTCTTCATAATCCAGTCGATGACCAGGAGAAAGAGAAAGGGTGAGAGTAAGCAACCTTGCCTGACACCGGTCTTCACCTCAAAGGAGTCTGTTAGCTGTCCTTCGTGTACGATTTTGCAGTTGAATCCATCATAAGAATTCCGTATGATGTTAACTATTTTCTCAGGCACCCCGTAGTGTCGAAGAAGCCTCCATAGTGTTTTCCTATCCACGCTATCGAATGCCTTCTCGTAGTCGATGAAGTTGATGTAGAGTGGTGAGTTCCATTCAATTGATTGTTCCACAATGATCCGTAATGTAGCAATTTGGTCAGTACACGATCGATCCTTACGAAATCCAGACTGTTGATCTCGAAGTTGGGCGTCTACGAAGTCCTTCATTCTGTTTAACAATACCCTGTTGAAGACTTTGCCTGGTATTGAAAGAACAGTGATGCCTCTGTAGTTTTCACACTTGCTGAGATCGCCTTTCTTTGGTATTTTGATCAGGTATCCTTCTTTCCAATCTGATGGTACTTGTTCCTCATCCCAAATCTTCTTGAAGAGGATGTGAAATGTTTTCGCAGTTGCTTCTACATCTGCTTTCATTGCCTCTGCTGGAATGTTGTCTGGTCCTGCTGCTTTGCCGTTCTTGATTTGTCTGATGGCCATACTGATCTCCTCAATCGTAGGTGCGCCAATATTAATTGGGAGGTCCGTGGATGCCGCTTCGATGTTGGGTGTGTTCAGTGGAGCTGGTCGATTTAATAGTTCCTTAAAGTGCTCTACCCACCTATTTCGCTGTTGTTCAGTGTTGCTGATTACTTTGCCTTCCTTGCTTTTCACTGGTCGTTCTGGTTTACGATAGTTCCCGGCGAGCTTCTTTGTTGTTTCGTACAATTGTCTCAAGTTTCCTTCTCTTGCAGCCTTCTCCGCCGTCATTGCTAGATCTTCCACATATTTTCGTTTGTCAGCTCTGATGCTGTTCTTCAATTCCCTGTTTGCTTCTGTGTATGCAGCTTGTGCGGTAACTTTCTCCGCTCTTGTTCGGCTGACATTGATTGCTGCCTTCTTGTTCCTCCTTTCTTCAATTTTTGCAAGGGTATCAACAGAGATCCATTCCTTGTGATGGTAATTCTTTTGACCCAGAACTTCGTGACATGTTGAAGTGATTGCCTCCTTAATCCCTTTCCAATTGTTCTCCAACGTTGCGTCCTCTCCATTGTGTAGATCCTGAAAGGCCTGGAACCTATTGGTGAGGGCTATCCTGAATTCATTGAGCTTTACAGTATCCCGAAGAAAGGCCGTATTAAGCTTGTGCGATGTTGTCTGCCCCGTTGTCCAGCGCTTGTTTAGTTTCAGTTTCATTTTGGCGATTAGCAAATGGTGATCTGAGGCTACATCAGCTCCTCCCATGGTTCTCACATCCTCCATAGTCCTTCTGAACGTTTTGTTGATACAGATATGGTCAATTTGGTTTTGAGTAGTGTGGTCCGGTGAAATCCATGTAGCTTTGTGAATGCGTTTGTGCGGGAATATTGTGCCACCGATGACCAGTTTGTTGAAGGCACATAGGTTTGCAAATCTCTCACCATTTTCGTTTCTTTCTCCCAGTCCATGTCGTCCCATGATGTCTTCATATCCAGTGTTGTCCATTCCAACCTTGGCATTCAGGTCTCCCATAAGAATCGTCAAATCCTTTGGTGAACATTTCTCGACGATTGATTGCAGCCTTTCGTAGAATTGATCTTTAACGTCGTCATTGTAGTCGTTGGTAGGTGCATAACATTGGATGACGTTCATTGTAATGTCCTGTTTCTTTGTTTTGAAGGATGCTTTAATGATCCTCGGTCCATGAGATTCCCATCCTATCAGTGCCTTTTGTGCATGTTTGGACAGCATTAGTGCTACTTCTTGTGTATGTGAAGCATTTTCCTCTTCATGACCAGAGTATAACAGCAGTTCCCCTGAAGCTAGTCTCAGTTGTCCTACTTGTGTCCAATACGTTTCACTGATTCCAAGCACCTCGAGGTTGTATCTTTTCATTTCTGCCGCAACTTGAAATAGTCTTCCAGTCTCCCACAATGTACGAACGTTCCATGTACCTAAAGAAATGGTTGCTCTGGTTGTCAGAAGAGGCATCAGCCCCGTGACTTCCGAGGGAACTCGGCTTTCATCACGCGACGTCATAATTCTTCCTCCAACTCCCAGGGCAGAGTTAAAATGGTTTGAATTATTTTTTGTGGTTAGCGTTTTTTTGGCAAGTTAGTTTTTGACGGAAAGGGGTCGCCAACCCCATGTCCAACCCTCCTCCTTTATCCGGGCTTGGGACCGGCAGTAGCCGCGAAGGTTCTACTGGCGGAGTTGCAAACTATTTTGACCCGTCATTTAAGGGCTCTAACCATCGGTTACAATTGTAACGCGGACCCCAACCAGGTAGTCTACGTCTTATTGTGGTCCGCGATGTGGTTACTCGAAATTCTACCGATATTCCAGATATTCCACTACGACCGCTAATTCTGTTTACCAAATCCCTAATGTATCAGAACACAAAACTGTCAGATGTAAACGCGCGTACAGGATCCTAGTAAAATTATTAATCTGATTTCACCTTATCAAAATAAAGAAGCAACTCGATTTACTCTTCGTGTATCCGGTAGCCCTGATGCTGCTTCCAGGGGCCTCGCTGGTGTAGGTATAGCATTGAGTCGTTGGGCAGAACTAGCTCTCTAAGACTGGATCCCAGTACACGGTCGCTTGTGCGTTGTCCAATTAAACTGGACAGAAAAGACTAGTAAAGATAAGGACAGTCGCCGTTGCCTCTTCATCGTATCTATCTACGCTCCCACTGACTACAATTCAGATGAGACGAAAGATGAGTTTTACAGAAAGCTTTCGAACCTCCAAAAAGCTAAGCGCTCAGATGTAGTAATAATGGCTGGTGACTTTAATGCGCAAGTAGATAGACTGAGTGAAAATGAAAGACACCTAGGTGGATCTTATGGTGTCGCTGCAGATCGAACAGATAATGGCGACCGTCTGTTGCAACTATACTCAGATAACCGCCTATTTCTAGTAAACACTAACCTTAGGCATAAAGAAAAACATCTCTTGACATTGCGCCCCCAAAGTCGTCTCAACGCTGAACCCAACTAGATCACAATGTTCGATAGAGGACTATCGCTCGTTCTGGGGCACATGTCTAGTTCAGATCATGCTGTAGTGCGGAGGCGTATTTGTTTGCGTCTTACCAGACGTAGGAAAGACACCGCAATGAAACCTCTTAGGGTTCTGCCTAATGATCGCAGAGCTAAGAATATATTTCAGGAACAACTAGAGAGACAGTTAGGCTATCATGTAAGCGATTCCCATCCGGAGGTAGGTTGGAATGATATCAAAAAGGCTGTGAAAACAGCAGTGATATCTGCTAGTAAGGTAAACCATAAGGCTAGGATGAAGCCGTGGATCTCAATAGCATCTACTGAACTGATGGATGCTCGAAAACCCGTCCCACCTGGCTCTGAGTGCAATGAGGAGCGGATTCAGCTTAGACGTAGGCTTACAAAAAGCCTGCGCAATGATCGAGAACAGTGGTGGGTGGAGAAAGCGAGAGAGATTAAAAAGGTAGCGGCGATAGGCAACAGTATCCATTCTCGATCCAGGAGACTGGATCGATGGGCAGAACACTTAAGGGATCAGTTCAACTGGCCTCGAGCCACTCTTCGGTTACCCACGATCTCCAGTCATCCTGAATGGCAAATTGACGAAAGTCCCCCGACTTTATGAAGTTGACAAGACGATAGGAAATGGGAAGCGAGGGTGAGCAGCTGGTCCTGATAGACTGATCCCTGAGATATTTAAGGATGGTGGTCCAGTTTTAGCAGCTAGGTTGACTGAAATCTTTGGTAGAATCTGGGAACTGGACGTAATTCCATCTGACTGGTCTCAATCCCTGATTGCCCCAATTTATGAGAAAGGACAAAAGTCTTCTTGTGACAATCACAGGGGAATAAGTCTAACTAACCAAGTTTCTAAATTGTTAGCCTCGATAATACTTAGACGCCTAAGTAGAACTTGTGAAGAGCAGACTAGAGAAAACCAGTCTGGTTTTTGACCTGGACGTGGCCGTATAGACCACATCTTCACACTGCGACAGGTCCTGGAACACAGACACACATTTAGGCGTCCTACAATAGTGCTGATGGGAAGATCGGCGAAACCAAGTTCTTCGAACCAATCTAAACCCAGAAGGTTGAGAGTAGACTTGGTGATGTAGCACGTCCCATTGAAGGTTGACCTCTGACCGAAATGCAGTAATCGAGTTCACCATAAAGGTGGAGATGACCCTTACAGGCGCTGACGGCGGTCTGCGAGGATGGTTTGATGGGTGGTTGTTCCAAGTTTTGTCAAGTCTCTTTCGATAGAATAGTGATATCCAATGCAGTATCCAACTGCAACGGAACTGGCTGACCATTGAATCAGAGGGTCAGAAATTGGCGTCGAGTAGCGGGATGGTTGTGGAAGACTGCCGCTAAACTTCTTGATTAAGCAACTGGCTTTTTTGGGAAAACGACGATGTATCTGTGAATTTTGACGGTTAATTTATTGGGCTTATTAGCTAAAACCGTTTTTGTGAACAACTTTCTGAGACGGATTTCACTCATGCTGTTTGAACGGACAGAACTTCACATAATTTCAGGCTCCACATTGCCAACATGGCAAGGGGGCTTCTTCTAAGCCGGTGTGGAATGATTAGTGACAGGAACAGCACTGGTGTTCGAAAGACCGAAGGTGGTTGATCCCGAAGATTTGTTTTGATTCTGAACAGCGTGAAAATGAGGGACTTTAATTGGTTGTTAGTAAGGGATCTGAGCTTGAACCGTTCGCACTCACCGCGTACAATGCCGACATGGGTCAAAAAGTCATCGGACTCATTCATGGATTTGTGCCATGTTTTGGTTTGACCGCCCCTTGAATTCTGCCAACCTACTCATACACCACAAAACATCACTCGTCGACGCAGTCGGTGATTGGTCATATGTAACACATGTTTCAACCATCTCAACTGATGAAGTGTTAATACTTCATCTATTGGTTTGCCATCCCTACATAGTACTCGTTTCCCAACAACAGCTTTGCTTACTCGTTGGTCCAGTCTTGAAGCGAAATCTTGCATTTCGAGGAGGAAAACCACATCTCGAACATGCTTGCATTGTTGCTCGGGGTAGTCAGAAGACTCTGCATTACTGGGTTATGTGACGGAATCATCTTTGAACTACAAAGTCATAAGTGATGGTTGTTGTATTTGACTGACAGGATTCAATTATCAATGGTGTTAGGAGCACCTTCTGATAACTCTACATGTTGTTATGACCTGAAGATTATTTCACACTTCTACTTTATCATCATGTTTCACATCTATCTTTTTGTTTTTCAGATTGCTTCTTCCACATTTGACTACATATCTTCAGATTTAATGTCTGGCGTCAAAGATCCTCTACCAGATTTAACTTCATCAGCACTCACATTGTTTAGTAATCTTATGCTTGCTCAAGCATATGAATGTGTCCTCTTGAAAGCTGAAAAAGGTGATAATATAATACTATAATATGACATTTTTTCCTTAGATAAAAAAAAGCCTTCGATTTTAGCCAGATTATCATCAACCTTGACTAGTCTTTATGAGGAATGTATGTCAGGTTGTTCAGGTGGAGCTAAATACGCTGTTCCAAAAGTAATGTGATTTTTTATCATTTCTATCTTAGGATTGGTCTGGCGTATTAAGCATGAAAAAAGGTTTATATGAAGCTTTGACCCAATATCATCAGTCCGTAGCTTGTTGCGAAGCCAAACAATATGGTGAACAAGTAACTCGCATATCAGTAAGCTGCATCATTTATTCAACGTTTTAACTATCTCTTTATTTAATGAAACATTCAGAAAAAGCCTCAGTGCATTTAAGCTAATTTCTATCATGCTCAGACTGCTTTATTATGGTGATGTTAGATGTAGTAGCTGAACATATGTAATATGTTTGTATTTTGAAAATTGCAAGTTTGTTATAACTTCATCAGGATAGTAATGTGGAAGTTGAGTCGTACACTAGTTGACAGTGTTTGTGATGTTTTTTTTTCACTATGTTTGTTATAAATTATTCTGGTTATATATTGATTGCCTAACACGGGATAAAATGTAATGAAAAGTAAAATAAATGAAAGCCATTCAATCATTCTCTAAAACCACGGAATGTTTTTTCTTAGTCGTTAAAGAATTCAGAACCTAAAACTACACAGTACACATTTTCTATTTTACACTATCTGTTCTTATAAGGTTCTCGTCTACCTTTATATTTCATTGTGTTGTTATGATTACGTCGGTGTAGCTAATTCACCACATAAAGCACATGATGAAAGTCAGTCGTAAAATTCGCACATTGATTTAAGTTGATTTTCACTTATTGATTTATTTATTCAAAGTGATTTTTATTCATTGACTCAGTGAATTTTCATTCGTAATGATTCATTTAATGTGCAATTAGTTATTTAATTTTCAATCCTGTTTTATCTTTTCGGTGAATTCACTGTACTTTCGCGTTCGGTGACAAGTGTTGTATTTATTAATCATTTGATTAATCAATAAATAGCTGAAAAAACTTGAATGTGATTTGATTCTCTTAGAGTCTGTCAAGAAAAGTTTCTGTACAATCTTGAATTTATCACTCAAGTTATCAGGTAGAAAAAAAAGTAGATAACAGCAAATCCGTCCATCTTATTAAAGTCGGAATTAATAAAAACTAGCTTAGTGTCCAAAAATCAGCAAATTTAGACTTATTTCACTTTGATATTTAAGGTGGTGTCTTATATCCATTAGGTATGAACAACAGTTGAACTCATCTAATATAATTTTATTAATGTCCTGGATGCACCATCATTGGAAGCGGGAAATACTGGCCGGCAGATTCGTCTTAGTATGGGACTCACCAGCCGTGCCTATCCACAAACCCGTAAGAGTGAGAAGCCGTGGCCAGTGGAGTTTAGCTATTGGGTGTGAGGTCGTTACTCACCGAAGACAATCGATTAAAATTAGACAATAATACCACCGAACGCTGGTTCAGTGGTCAGTCAGTCAGTCAGTTACAACGTGGAACTTCTTACGTACGTACACACATCAGTCCATACCACATTAGCACAGATAGGCAATTGGCTGCTCAAATCCCATAGTGGTAGGAATAGTAGAAGTATTAGCGGTAATGGAGAAGATTACGGTTCGGAGATATTATTCAAGAAGTATAATTCAGTGAGGTAAATTTAGAAGGAGAAAGATAGAGGTTATGAGGAAATTAGAGTTAGAATTAGAGAGAACACAAAGACTGGATGCACCTGCGCCTTCGCAAACGATTCTGAGCCATGTCGTTCAAGGTCTCTAACCAGCGCTTACTATCGTCTCGCGGGACCCAACCAGGTAATCGACACCTACCAACATGACGTAATCCAGTTGTCAGTGGCTTCATGCATTTCTGCCATGTTTTGGTCTGGTGGCACCTAGCTTTCTTCCAACTTATTCCTACACCACAACACATCGCTCGCCAGGGCAGTCAGTGATTGAGCATGTGTAACACATGTCCCAACCATCTCAAATGATGAAGTTTCACACCGTAAAGTAGGACGGATCGAACTACTGCTCAGTAGATTCGTCCTTTAGTTAGCAGACGAATATCTCGCCTACGCCATAAGTGACGCAGATTGGCAAAAGCCATTCAAGTCAGAAGACTCTGTATTTTGTCAGTGTCTTCGCCAAGTCGACCAATGAATCTCCTGGTCGAAGATCTACTCCTGAAAGTTCAGACGAAGATAATGTTATTTCTAGGAGCATGTCTATGACAAAATTAAACTAGAACACTATCCAATGTAACTGGAAAGGGTGCTCTCCCTCGCCTTAGATTCTCTATAACTCTTTAAAATTGATAAAGAGTCTGAGGTCTTATATCAGATTACGATTCATGTTGACTGAAGATTGTGGGCTAGTTGAACTGATCCTTGAAGTGTTCTGCCTATCGATCCAATCTCCTGGATTGAGAGTGAATAATAAACCCATCCTTTCCCGAGATAATGTCAGTTACAGTCGGGATCATAACTCCGGTTTCCTTGAAAAGTCTGAATAGTTGCATACTGTTGCCTATCACTACAGCCTTTTCCATTTCTCTCGCTTTCGCTACCTGACACTTCGCGATCATTGCGTAGTCGTTTTATCAGCCTGCACCTTATCTGACTCCGCTCCTCATCGTACTCGGAACCAGACTGGTCGAGCTTTCAAGCATCCACCAGTCTCATAGATGCTATTGAGATCCACGGCTTCATCCTAGCCTTATGGTTTACCTTACTAGCAGATATCACTGCTGTTTTCACAGCCTTTTTGATATCATTCCAACCTACCTCCGGATGGGAATCGCTTACATGATAGCCTAACTGTCTCTCTAGTTGTTCCTGAAATATATTCTTAGCTCTGCGATCATTAGGCAGAACCCTAAGAGGTTTCATTGCGGTGTCTTTCCTACGTCTGGTAAGACGCAAACAAATACGCCTCCGCACTACAGCATGATCTGAACTAGACATGTGCCCCAGAACGAGCGATAGTCCTCTATCGAACATTGTGATCTAGTTGGGTTCAGCGTTGAGACGACTTTGGGGGCGCAATGTCAAGAGATGTTTTTCTTTATGCCTAAGGTTAGTGTTTACTAGAAATAGGCGGTTATCTGAGTATAGTTGCAACAGACGGTCGCCATTATCTGTTCGATCTGCAGCGACACCATAAGATCCACCTAGGTGTCTTTCATTTTCACTCAGTCTATCTACTTGCGCATTAAAGTCACCAGCCATTATTACTACATCTGAGCGCTTAGCTTTTTGGAGGTTCGAAAGCTTTCTGTAAAACTCATCTTTCGTCTCATCTGAATTGTAGTCAGTGGGAGCGTAGATAGATACGATGAAGAGGCAACGGCGACTGTCCTTATCTTTACTAGTCTTTTCTGTCCAGTTTAATTGGACAACGCACAAGCGACCGTGTACTGGGATCCAGTCTTAGAGAGCTAGTTCTGCCCAACGATTCAATGCTATACCTACTCCAGCGAGGCCCCTGGAAGCAGCATCAGGGCTACCGGATACACGAAGAGTAAGACGAGTTTCTTCTTTATCTTGACATGGAGATGCCAGGTGAATGACGCCACTTGGATCTTGTATGCGTGTTTCCGAGATGCAGCATACATCGATGACGCGAGATTATAAATGCCTAGCTAAGAAAGCCTGTTGTCCTATATGACAATGTCCGTACATAAAAAGCTCCATGTCTGAAAAGGGGTTTCAGGGACGTAGTGGTTGCTCTTGCCTATCGTGATGACCCAACCGAGCTATATTGGCTGGAGCATATGTTCCTGTAGATTTTATCACACCAGGCAGGTCGATTGGAGAACGATGAAACTACATGCAGCAACATGGATGGTTAGTGTCCGCGGGCGATAGCAACCGATTGTTAGAGACCTTAAATGACATTGGTCAAAACGTTTGCAGTGGCGCTGGTGCATCCACTGTTCGTGTTTTCTGATATTCTAATCTTTAGAATTGCCCATCACCTCTATCTTTCTCTTTCTAAATTTGTCTCACTGAATTATACTTCGTGAATAATATCTTCGATCCCTAATCTTTTCCATTACAGCTAATACTTCTACTATCCCTAGCACTTGGGGTTTGAACAGCCAACGGCTTATCTGTGCTAATGTGGTATGGTAACCTGAACTGATGTATGTATGTTAGTATGTACGAAGTTCTACGTTGTAATTGACTGACTGGATTTCATTGAGATCACAGAACAACCTTAATTAAACAATTGCTGAAGAGCTGGAAACATGGAACAGTTTCTTCGTTCTGTCATAAGACTCCTCACTTGCGCATACCCTCGACCCCGCCACTGTCAACCGAACTTTCGGTCTCCGAGATGGTACTGCCTTTAGACCACTGAGTCGGCATCCAGTGGTGTACAGGTCTAACGTTAACTATTGCACAATATCTCCACAAATCCCGTTATACTAACAGTGAATTTACTTTCAAAAATTCTCTTCAGAATAATTAAATCCTTACTAGATAATTCAATAAGTTTGTATTGATCCTTACTTTGAAACTATCGAATACATAATTTGCTTTTATTTGGCCACATGTTTTTATTTTGTTCCATCGTATACCTGTCCAATTCGTCAAAATTTCACATTATTCACTCAAATATTACGGATTGGATTTTTATACTGTTACATAAATACTCATAAATGCTATTGTTTGGCTTTTAATTGAATCTAAGTTCAAACACAAAGCCTAGCATTATCGATATGCTTCTAAACTTGTGTTACTGTTTCTGATAAAATTAAATGAATCTACAAGAGAAAGATGATTTTTATTATAGGAACTTTGTATCATATTAACACTTATCTTAACAATAATTATATTTTTATGTTTTAAGTATTCATATTCTTATTGTATTTTTTTTTAATACAGTATGCCTATGAACTGATTAAAAATGTTGCTCGAAATAGCTGTTTCCAACGAAAAAATTTAGTGGAGCAATTTAAACAAGAAGAAACAGTTGCAATAAAAGACAATGATCATATATATCATGAAAAAGTACCGTCTAGAGCATGTCTTACTGCTGTAGAAAGTGTTGATGTGATTAAGAAAACCCCATTGACATTCCCTTTATCTTCATCCAATACCAAAGATTTCTTTGAAAATCTACTTCCCTTAGCTGTTATAGAAGCTGTTAACACGGCCAAAGGTGTTCGTGCATCTCTGATCGATAGCGAAATTGGTAAGCTACGAGAAGCATCTAGTAAAGTGAACGAGTAAGTGTACCTCTCTTTGTGTTACTCAAATGTAATTACAGAAAAACAAAACAAAGAAATTAGTACTAAAACTAGAAACATTTTAGACTCAGTTAATTTTTAAGACTTCAAGCAATTATGTATAAATGGAAACGATCTCAGTGTCACTCATTCTAGTTGATCACCTGTATAAGTTGTCTTTATCCTTATCCTTAACCGGGAAGAAACTAACATGTTAAAGCATCAGGTGAAAACAAAGATCAAGCAAACAGGTTTATTGATCAAGATAATGTTCAGAACTCCCGATTAGTCTCACCGAATTAGGGGTAGCAGTTAAACCTACTTAGTGTTTGTTGTAATTGCTTCCTTTCACGATTCATAGTCCCATTAACATATCCTAGTTACCATCACGGAATATCGCTAATCTTATAAAGAACGTACTGGTGGAATTCTTTGTGGTATTTAATTTCCTAGAAGCCATAGGTAATTGTTCTTGCTCAATTGTATTTTTTCTACATATTTTATCGATAGATGTGTAAATGTTGTTACCTATATGATACTGTTATCTGCGCCTTACATGCTTACTTATGCCTGTTGCCCGTCGTGGAGCAAGGCCACCTACCAAGATTCTCCATCCGTCTGTGACCCGTGCTATCTAGCCCACTCGTTGTCACGTGCTGTTCATTCATTCGATGTCTGCCTCCAGTTCCTGGTATGTGTTCTTTGGTATTCCTCTTCTCCCTTAGCCCTTGGGATTCCAGGTTAGTACTTGCCTCGTGATGCAGTTAAGTGATGTCCACAATGTGTGTCCAACTCACTTTCAGCGTTTCTTCTCAATTTCTTCCCCATTTGAAGACTGGTTCGTTCTCTGCCGTAATCAGTTCTTGCTGATGGTATCTGGCCATCGTATCTGAAGTATCCTGCGTAGAAAGCTGCTTATCAATACCTGTATCTTTTGGATGATTGTTTTCGTAGTTCTCCAATATTCAGTGTTTTACGATGGAACTGTCTTGACATTTGTAATGCAAAGTCTTACTTTGGTATTGGTTAATAGTAGTTTTGAGGTTGTTTTATGCATCGCGATTCTATTGGCCCGAATTCCTCAATATTATAAAGTATATGACGTCGAAGTTCTTACTGCAATTCTTATTGGTTCTGGATTTAATTCATTTGGTCCAGAAAATTTGTTTTATACCATCACTGTAAAATTTGATTTTTGAAGTTATTCCCTAGCTTCTTCTTAATTATTTTCGTAACAGATTTTTTCGCGAAAGATCATCTGCTATCTTTTAACCTGTTATCTAAGTAAACGGAAACAATGTTTTTTTTGATATTTTCAGAGTTTTGGCTTCATACAATTTCCCTGCAGCATTGCTAGCTAAAGGATCGAACTCAATTATGGATAATATTTTATCCAAAGCTAATTCTATACGTCGAGATGGTGGTTTAGAAAAATTACATCAACAACTGTTGTCGATACCTGAATATGTTCAACGTAATAAGGAAATCATTGAAGCTGTAAGCTCTCAGAATATTTGATTTAAAGAGTAAAAACGCTATGATTTAATTCAGTTATGAAATTTTTTTTCAAAATTATAATTCTGAATCCGAGTGCATGTATTCTGTTTTGAGTCGCACTGTTTTTTCCATTAGCATAATGATACTGCGGTGTGTAATACCTACGATTGGGCTTATGAATAGTAGTACGCAGCGAATGTGCAGCCGAGTGTTGCCCTGAAGTTACGGCCGATGCAAAGAGTGTCGGGCCCGGATTTATGGCGCAATCTAGCTATTTTGAAGAATAGAAGACATGTATATGGAAGAAGACAGTTAAGAATACGCTTGTTCTACAAATTATTTGCTGTACTTCAGTCTCCGTTTTGCTAGAATACTGTCCGGTTGTGTTTACTTTTTCTCTGTCATTCAATTGTACTTTAGTCACAATGGTTCAAACAAGTGACTTAAAATTGTGTATCACCGATTTAATTTGGTTTATTGAATGGTATCTTTAGTTCGCACATCAGTAACGTGACTCAAATAGTAATTTATTAAGTTGTACTCACTTACGCAATTGTATAATTTCTTTTCTGTAAAAATAATAAAGTGATGGCTTAGTAGTTAGAACACCGTCACTTACAAACATTTGGCACCGGATTTGGTTCTGTTTCATTTCAGTTTATTAACTAAGTCCTGTATTTAAAAATAGGGTTTAAAGCAGAATACTTAAACCTGTACTTAGTTACTGAGTTCTATCAAATTATTTTTTAATTACACTGAGCTGGTTTGATGTAATTACTGTCAGACTATTTTACAAATCAAGTTATAAATTCATAATCACTGAAGTTGATGTGTATTTGATTAAGATGAACTTTTTGCTACTTTTCATTCAATATTAACCACATTTTTGTTTTCTTTACTTATGTCTTTACTATCAAAACAATACTTTTCTATTTTTTTGTATTTAGGAGAAATGTTCTCTAGATAATGAAGAAAATTCTGATAATAGTTTGCGAAAACAATATGGTGAACGTTGGGTACGGAAACCATCAAGTGAGTTAAACAAAATGTGGCGTTCGGATATACAGAAGTGCTTGAGTTTACTTGAACAAGTAAGTAATTCATTGTTTAGTAGTCGATAAATGTTTTTTCTGCAAAAAAAAGAAAACACAAATCACCAACATTCATCAATAAAATAACAATATCCTTATTAGAAAGTTTTAGTAGTTTTCGTAGTGATCAGAAAAGTGATACTCAAGGATAGGTATCAATAAAATTCTATTAACTGACTGGATTCCAGCATTCATGTAAATGACATTTTGTAAACTATCTACAATAGGATTTGCAGTCTCCTTTATTCTTGACTTCTATCTAATGGCAAATCCCTTTCACTTACTTCGGCTTGAGTAGTTGGACAGTCTTAATGGTCCTGACACAAGCCCTAGTAGATTAATCTGTTGTTAATAGATAAGTTACATTCGAACAGTGCTTTACGTGCTCAGGTTTGGGCAGGTGTTTATTACTTCCATTGTTACGTCAAGGGTTAACTTTCAAGGTTTAGCATCGGAATACTCATTCAGCTACTGAGTTATGGTAATATTTGAGACGCTTATGGTGTACTTTATTTCAGACTAAAATTTTTGATAAACTGTCGTTATTTAATTTAGCTATTTTGGATTCTTGTAATCCTTCAAAAACTCCACAAATAAATCAGCCAATTGTACGCAACGTTTAGCCTAGTTTATATGCATCAGTTCAAGCTGGCTCATCACATCAAGATATCAGAGTGGTATAAGTGCTAATAGTATTATAGTGGTGGTGTAGAAGATTAGGAATAAAAGACGTACCCTGAGGAAAGAGAATGGCTTCATGAAATAAAATAAATTGGGAATCAAAAGACTTTGTAACTAAAGAACAATAAAGAATTAATTAATTCTGATCGATATCACTCAAAGCCTCTAACCATTGATTGGAAGATTCTAGCGAACCCTGTCCAAGATCTATCTAATCGGTTTCCACTTTGGTTTGAACTGCCTATTTCGGCGTTAGAATTGTCTGCTTCGATTACGTCTGATCGTTTGGTTTTTTGAAGGAAAGCAGAAGCTTTTCTGTTAAACTAGTTGTTCACTTCATCCATGCTTAGTCAGTGGAGGCATAGACGAGAATGATGAACAGGCAACGACGTATGTCTCTACCTTCGATTACTGTCGCTCCTCCACTTAGTCGAATGGGGCTCAAGCGACTGTGTTGGAATCCAGTCCAGGAGCGCGTAATCTGCTTCTGAACTTGCCGCTATATGTACACGAAATTCCGAAGTCCTGGACTAGGAATCTTGTCCGATTCTACTATAGGGTTTGGACGTTGAAAGCTTGCTAAATAGGCTAAACAGTGTTTTCAGGAGACCAGGCACAATATTTTGTAGACTCGAATTGTTAGTATTGATCGCACTAGGGGTTAAAGGATTGATGGAGGATAAAAGAGATGTCAAGATGTAATAAAGGATTTTGATCGTGAATAAGGGAATTTGGGGTATCGTTAAAGGTATGAAGTTAGTTGTCACTTCCAAGTTGCTTGCACTGTAGACGGACGGTCCTTCCAAAGTTACCTGAATAGATAGTAGAAAAGTTAAGTGATCGATCAACATGACCATAGATCTAAGGAAAAACTGAATGAAACGGGTCACATACTCGGTCTGCTCTCAAATAGTTATAGCCGAATCAGCTCCATACTTTAAAGGCTTTATCACCGAAAGCGGAAAGTGAGGTTTCATTATCCATTCCTGCCGTCATAAAAATACAGCATCACTGCAAATGTCGGTCATCCCAGGAAAACACCTTAATGCAAGAGCACATCTTAGTACAGTCAGCAATAACATATCGCCCTCAGACCTTGCTGCTAGTATTAGTAGAACCTAAGAGAACGAATATTCGTTTCAATATAGCGCAATAGGATTATTACAATAAAGAAGCCTCACCACCGCATCCAGTTATGAGGTACGGTTGGGTTCTATAAACAAGGCATTTTCGCCTCGATTCTTTGTTTGCTCCTTCCGGATCCTGGAAATCGTATAGGCCTTCAAATTGAAATCAATGTACATGCACCTTCCAAGCATTAAATATCTCTTTATTACTGATCCACAATGTTCTTCATGTGTTGGACATTTTGAACTCAATGTAGTTTGCACTGCCTATTACAGGTTGTGAAACTAACTGAAATTCTAATACGGTTAGTATCGTTCAAGTCACTAAATCTTGAAATCATTGGTTGTAGTTCAAGCTCGGAAAATTATCTGTATGAGGAAGCAATGGTTTGTGTATCTCCAGTTAATAACACACCTCCGTTTCTTTCTATACAATAGATAAAATAATATTTCAGTGACTTCACAATTTTTATCATACTAAACATGGCCATACCCTGAAGATTGTATATATATTATGTAACTCTATATTTATTTATTTGAAGTTTTTCATTAGAAAACTCAACTCAACATTTTTTTGTTTATTCTATTTCGTCTAGACTACAAAAACCGATACAACACTTGTAGAACGATATGAAAAGCATAAAGAACATCTTGAAATGTTAAGTAAACCAGAAGATGAACTTAAAGAGCTTATTGAATCAATTCTAGAATCAACAGAATCTGAGCCTCAAGACAAAAATGAAGGATTAAAATCTGAATTAACACAATTGTGCAACAATCTAGAAGCAGTTAAAACAGAAAGAAATGATCTAACGGAACAATTGAAATTAGTCGATTATTCACCAGATTTGGGTAAGATTTTGTGATTCTATTTGTGTTATGGTCAACTGTTCATTTGACCAGTTTTTTTTCTAAATGTGTGATTGTAATGTAGTCATTAAGTTTGCTAATTTTAAGTTTCAAACTGGTAAATCGCTGAGGTTGTGCTTGAAGATCAAGACATCTTGGTTTTGCTATGCAAATGATACTTGTGATTCGGGATTCAAGGCTGAAAATCGTGGTGCTTCTCTATATGTTGGTGATACTTGGGGTCAGCTTAAGATATGAATCTACGTCTTCAAAAATCTTTACCATATTTTAGCGTACTCAATACGATTTATGTCACGGGACGCCAATCGTTAGCGGTTGTAATTCTTTTATCTTTATCTTTTACTGTTCTGCTTATAGCTTAACGCCCTAGATAAGATCGACTTTACTTTCTGACCTTCAAAATTAATCGTGATACAACGTAAGCTATACTCCTATAGATTCATCTATCCGTAAGCATTTCACTATCCCCAGCCTTGAGTATAAAAAGAAGTTAGTAACCAAGCTTCTGCCACTATTGATTTCGACCACGCAGCCTAGCCAATCAACACAGCTAACAACTCTCTCAAACACTCATTAGCTTATATGTACGAATTATCAGACCGCACAGCATGCCAAATGAGTGATCATACCTCAAACATAATCATGCCACAGTTGGCAGAGAGCTAGGTAAACGGTAGGTCCACTGGAAGATAAAAGAATATTGAAATACAGTGATACATTTATCTCACGGGTATACAGTAAAACTAAAAACAGCAACAATCCGGAAAACATTTCAGAAAGTTCCAACTTTTCCTTTTCTCGTCAAGCTATTACAAAATCTTTTACTAGTTATTCAAGCTGAGAGCAGTAAATATTCTTGATACAATCAAAGGAAGTTTGTTGAACGGGAAAACAACATATTCGTTCTATCATGATTGAAGTCATAAAACGATATTAGCTAAACCACTATTGAGACCGTAAAACGACTGTATGGCCGCTTCGTCCCAGTGTAATGAATGAAGACCTCAAGACCAGATGAAATGAGTGATATACCTAAAGAGAACGCGGTTTACTAGCAAAATGTGAACGTTTTATCTTTGGACTTGAATTTTCCAAACAGTCGCATTATTAGCTGTCTTCTTTCACATGTGTTCTAGTCTTCAAAATACTTTGATTGTACTATATAGGCGGATCCGACACACCTCACTTTAGCAGTAATTTCTGGACAACACTCCGCTTCATATTACTAATAGTCTACGTTGTGAGTAGTATTTACCACACTAGTGTGGCAGTCTTCAGCACTGTGCATCTACGGCCACGCACAGAGAATTTGAATCCAGAACTGTTAAAATCTAAACTCCTGACTTGACATCAATTAGCGTTAATGTGTAACTTCAATCAATCCTTGATCTTCCACAACCTTCCATCCATTGCCTGCGATAGATAGCTGTCTCTTACGCGACTTGGATTCAGCTCCACTGATCATGGCATCTCGTCTTGATAATTCTTGGTTAGTGAACTCTGGGTGAAGAAAAACGGGGTCAGGAGACTTTTGTTAACATGTTTCATGTTTGATTTCACTGTTCCAGGAAAATGAGCACTTTGTGTTTCATAACGTGTCTGTTAGTAGATTTTGTTAGTTTACGGAATTTGGAAAATGTAGACTAATAAAACATGATATAAGCTTTATTCTGCAATAACATTGAACAAAACTTTTGTTTTTTTTTCTCATTAACCAAAAACAAATATTTGCTGTCATTGCAATTGGTCATAATGATTGCAATTTTCACATTTTGTTTACAGAATATAAGTTTTTGCTGTCAGTCATTTGACTTTATACATATTTGTATGTTTGTTTGAAATTTCATTGTTTTGCTTTAATAGTTCAGAGAATATTTCTTTAAACTACATTCAGTTTTATTTCTTTGAGTCACTTACCTCTAACTATCTATTGATTCAATTGCAAATAGTTGTCACTGATGTTGCGTAATAGACTGACCAGTAGACTGAGTCATGTTGGTAGATGTAGGCTACCTGGTTGGGGTCCGCGAGACGAAAGTCACCGATGGTTAGAGACCTTGAACGACATGGCTCAGAATCGTTTGCAATGGCGCAGGTGCATCCACTCTTTGTGTGCTTTTTAATTCTAACCTTCTGAATTCTTCATAATCTCTATCTTCCTCCTTCTAAATTTATCTCACTGAATTGTACCTCTCGAATCATATCTTTGCTCCCTAATCTTCTCCATTACTGCTAATACTTCTATTATCGTTATCACTGTTGGATTTGAACTAAGAGTTGCGTCTCTGTGCTTATGTGGTATAGCAGCCTGAACTGATGTACTTACGTACGAAGTTCTGCGTTGTATCTGTCTGTGTCCATGTCTTTTATGATAATACTATACAAATCCGGTAGTTTACTAGTTAACAAAAAAGTCCCACTTTAACTGTTATCTACATACAAGATATCTGAACAGGAAAAAAAAAGAAACCAAGTTATCCATGAAAAATCAGAATCGATTATTTCATTTACTTTGTTATCTAATCAACAATGTTTCACTTTAGCTGCTGTTAATTAAGAAAAGCTTTAGATTTCTAACGCCAAAATATCACTTGATATTCACCAGATTGAATAGGTGATGCAATCCTATGAATAGGTCCCAACAAATAACTGTATGCATTACATAGCCAATAGATACACTTATTCACTGACCCAGTATTGCGTCAAAATATATATATGTTTCTAAAAGTATGTTGTAGATTTGTTCAATCAAGTCCAGAAACTCATCATGCAGCTAGATCACTATCTCTTTGTATTTACAATTTTAATGAATTAATTCACTCATTTGTTTTATATTTTTTATTCTATTTCACTGAATCTATTCATGTATGCATGTTTGGTGTGTATTTGTATTTTTTTAAACAGTCAAAAAATTATGATCTCTTACCATAGAGAACACGGTGAAACAATTGATTTACAAATTGCTACTGATATGCTTAATGAAAAAATGGCATCTGTGCGTGAATCGATTGAAGAAAATTTAAATAAACAAGAAAATTTATTAAATACCTTACAAACAAAAGCGGATATGTTTTATGGGGGATCTGATAGTAATTCAAAAGATAAAGGACTGTTGACAATGCTGAATCTTGCTGCCGATGAATATTCTTCACTGAAAGATGCTGTTCAAGATGCAACGAAATTTTACGCTGAGCTTACTGAGATTTGTGTGAATACTCAGTGTAAGGTTAGTTAGTTTAAAAGCAATTTTTCTAAAATAAAAAAAAAAGAAGAATTTCCTTTTTTCTGTTTGTAATGATTGAATGTTTGTAACTGTTTTAATTTTCTTAATAGGATTATAAACAATTCATCTTGTACTCTCATTTCTTTTCACTTGAACATTGAGTCAATAAATCATACCTTGAATGAGAATTATATGTTATGTTTGTATTTGACTTTATGAAGCCGTAATTTGACTCCCGGCTGTTATCAATTCATTATAATTGTCAGTGAATAACTTAGTCTTCGTGTTTATATGATGTGGTGATGTTGTATATGACGAGTATGATTGACTTAACAGTATTAGTCATTGATTCCTCAATCTAAATCTTACTTATATCATTAAATTGAATTCATTTTCCTATTATTGTTAAGGTAAGGCTTTATCCTGTTCACTATTTTACTACAGACTTTTCGTACATACTCAAATTCCAGCATCCAATGAATTTAGCTACAAAATCTTTCTGTTAATGGTAGTGACTGTGTATATAATTAAATATTTACACTATCAATATGATGAATGAATATGGGATAAATATCCATAAAATTTCATTACATGAGTTTACTCTTTATGGTATATCTTCAAGTTTTCTTTAAAAAAAATATTTTTGGTACCCTTGTTTGTAAACAAAAAGCTATCGATATATAAAGCACTAGCTCAGTATAAATTTGTTTTTAAGCTACGCGTATATTGTGCCAATGACTAATGTATTATTGTTGATTTTGACGGAATTATGACGAACTACATTCAAACTATTTATAAGCATTGATTTAAAAATTGAAGCCATTTTATTGCTAATATATTTGCAATAAATAAGTAGTGTACCATGATTAAACCACTGATTTCTATCGATATTAAATGAACAATTACGCTTGTACATCACGCGTATGCCCAACCACTCACTGCCTCGTCGAGCCCTGTTTTGTAGCGTAGGAATAGGTTGGAAGAAAGTTAGGGGCGGCCAAACCAAAACATGGCACAAATCCATCAAGTCATTGACTAGTGGACTGAGCCATGTCGGTAATTGTCGACTACCTGGTTGGGGTCCGCGAGATGATAATAATCGATGGCTAGAGACCTTAAATGACATGGCTCAGAATCGTTCGCAATGGCGCCAGTGCATTTATTCTTTGTGTTCTCTCAAATCCTAATCTTCTGGATTCTTCAACCCCTCTAGTTTCGACCTTCTAAACTTTTCTCACTGGATCATACTTCTTGAATAATATCTTCTAATCCTAACCTCTCCGATTACTTCTAATTCCCTTACTACCTCTTCTACTATTGGATTTGAATTGACGATTACTTCTCTGTGCTGATGTGGTATGGCAACATGAACTGATGTACTTATGTACAAAGTTGTACGTTGCATCTGACTTGTACATTACATTGTTAACAAATAGACTTACCTTTTACGGTTGTTTATGTGTTTCTTTAAATATTTTCACATTTCAAAGATTGAAGATTTTTGCGCCGCACGTACTACTGAGAAAAATGAATTAATGTCTGATATTGCGACAAATTTAAGTCGAGTTCGTGTTGCAGAACAACCTGTCTTTCCAAAACCATCCGGTTAGTTGGGAATTCCATTTAATAATTTTCTCGTTATTTGTTTAATTGTTTTTAGCGTAATTAAGGTAATACTTTAACTTTCCTTCTTTTTATATGTTTTCAAGGAAATTTTCCTAAATAACCTAATACATCTGAAATCGGATTACCTACAAACCACCGATTAAATCCAAATTCCATGTTAGTGCTTGCCTCATGATGCATTTGGGTGCTTTCCTCAATATGTGTCCTATCCACTTCCGGCGCACCTTCCTTATTTATTCCTCCGCCTGAATCTGGTTCGTTTTCTCTCATAGTAGGTTGTCGCTGATAGTGTCTGGCCAACGGATCCAAGGTATTTAGCGTAGACGACTCTTAATAAATAGTTAGATCTTTCGGATGAAGGTTTTCGTGGTTCTTCAAGTTCTCACCCCATATAGTAGCACTTTCCTGACAGTTGTATTGAAAACTCTGACTTTGGTGTTTGTTGACAGTTGTTTCTAGTTTTAGATGTTGTTCAATTGTGAAAATGCTGCCCTTGTTTTGCTGATCTGCTCCTTCACATCTGCCTCTGATCCACCTTGCTCGTCAATGATGCTACCCAGATATGTATATGTTTTTACGTCCTCCAAGGCATCTCCATCAAGAGTGATTAGGTTGGTGCATGTAGTGTTTTATCGGAGAATCTTGCTTTTCCCTTTATGTATGTTGAGACCTATTGCTGCTGAGGCTGCTGCTACACTGGTCGTATTCTCTTGCATCTTTTGTTGCGAAGTCTAGATTATCCAGCTGCATCCTAGCTGTCCACTCTATTCTGTGCTTCTGTCTGCATGTTGACGTTTTCATAGTCTAGTCGATCACTAAGAGAACGAGAAAGGGTAGGAGTAAGCAACATTGTCTGACACCGGTCCTTACTTCAAAGGAGTCTGTGATCTGTCTCCCATGCACGATTTCGCAGTTTATTATGTAATAAAAATCCCGTATGATGTTGACTATCTCCTCAGGGATGACGTAGTGTTATCCTATCTACTCTATCACAAATGCTCTCTCATAGCCAATGAAGTTGATGTAGAGTGGTGAATTCCATTCAATTGATTGTTGAGAGAGGAGTGATGCTTCTGTGGTTTTCACACTTACTATTATCTTTGGAATCATGATGAGCTATCCTTCTCTCCAATCTGTTGGTGTTTGTTCTTCATCTCAAATTTTGTCGAAGCGAACGTGGATCATCTTTACAGTTACCGCTATGCCTGCCTTCAGTGCATCAGTTGGTTCTGTGGCTTTACTGCTGCTGACTTGTCTGATAACCATGTATATTTCTTCAATTGTTGATGGGTCGACATCATTTGGGACGCCCGTATGTGCTGCTTCGATGTTGGGTGGGCCCAATGGGGTTGGTCGATTCAAGAGTTCTTCAAAGTGCTCTACTCACCTGTTACGCTGTTGGTTGGTTGCCTTGCTTGCTTTTCGCTACACGTTCTGCTTTATTATACTTTCCAGCGAGCTTTGTTGTATCATAGAGTTGTTTCATGTTTCCTTCTCTTGCAGCTTTTTCTGCTGTCGTTGCTAGATCCCCCATATATTTGCATTTATCAGCTCTGATGCTCCTCTTAACTCCAGTCAGTCAGTCAGTCAGTCACTTACGACGTAAAACTTCATACGTACGTACATTCGTTCAGGTTGCCATACCGCAGTAGCACGGAGATGCAATTGTCACTTGAAAACCCATAGTAGTAGAGGTAGTATCAGTATTAACAGTAATCAAATAGATTAATGATCGAATATATCATTCTAGATGTATACCGCAGAGGAATCGGTTTCAAAAGAGAAAAATTGTCATGAGGAATTCAGAGACCACAAAGAATGAATACCCCTGCGCGATTGCAAACGATTTCGACCCATGTCATTCACGGTCTCTAACCATCGCTTACTATCTCTACCATAGTTGCCTACTTTGGTCTTTACTTTTCTTAGACAATTCGTGTTATGTTTATCTTACAGTACTTTATTGTAGGCATCGTCTTTTGAGTGAAGAATGAAGTATTATTTTTCTAAATGGACGTTTTCGTGGGTATTTTGTGCATTCTGATTACACTAGTTCTATTTCGTTAACATTATCGGTGATAACTAACACTAAATATGGGAAGTAGGTTTCAAAACGGATTGATAAAATAGATGAATCAAAGGTTTTTTATGGCGAACGTCAATATTTAACGGTTTTTTTAAGCATTTTTCAATCTCCTCAATCACTTCTTGTTGAACTCACTTGTATTGCAGTTCCTTTGTGTGATTTATTGTTTAATTATTATGGACTCTGAGTGATTTGTCATAGATAAATAAAACTAATGGAATTTTATGTATTGAGCAGTAATTTTATTTGAGATTAACTTATATTTGCGATTTCGTTTCCTGTTGTTTTTTTAGTCCCTGCTCGACCTGAACTGCCTTACAATAATCGTGTTAACCCTGCTCCTCCTGCTCAACCTCATGTTCCAATGCCAACACCATCAATGCCCATGGTGAACAATACTTCATATCCGATGCCTCCACAGCATTGGAATCCTCAAGGCTGTATGTTATGCTTCATCTCCTAAATGTTTTTAGAATTATTTTAAACCTAATCGTTTACTAATGTATTTGATATTAAAGTTATCATTTATTATTCTAAGATAATCAATCTTGATTTCCCATTAAATATCCTAAAACCTACTTCCTTCTATTATAGTAATATCCATAAACCAGATTCACGAGTTCTTGTATCGCTACCTAGATTCTACCCTTCAACAACCAACAGTGATGAATGTATAGTCTCATGTCCTCTATGATGATGGTAAGATAAGCTACGCGTAGTTATTCATAGATTGAATAAAGCTGGTCTTGAAAATCCGGTATCAAAACTACAATCTTCCAAGCGATTGAATAATATAAGTTATGCATATAGTATAAACTTTTCAAAATGCCTAGTCGAAAATTTCATTTAATCTATTGTGTATAGACGGTTTGTTTAGTCGAACACTCGAGATTAGATCATTTCAATGTTTTTGCTGGCAATGTTCGCCTGTAGATTACCATTTCACATTATCAGCATGATTCATATCAAACATCTTTTTGTAAAAAAAAAGTTGTTTTATGGTTTCATTGCAAAAAAAATAATAATCTGATTCAATCTATATTAAACTATAAATAACTCTATCAATCTTCTAATTGCTACTCTATACTATTTCAATTGAATGTCAATTAGAATGATAAGCAATTGATTAGATTAGATTACATCACATTAAACATTGTAGTTTTCTATTCATATTATTCAATGTCTAATGAATGTAATTTTTGTTTTCTGCAAATTATCAAATATTTTTTTAATTTATATAAAAACCTGTTTAACAAATAAATTCCAGTATACATACTCTATATTATTTGAAATTTTTATTTTTAGATCCGATGATGCCTCAACCATATGGTATGCATTGAAATTTTGATGTATATATTGTATATATTGTTTTGAGAAATTTTTAAAATAGAAGTGTGTTTGTATGTGTAGGTTGATCAAAGTGAGACATTAATACTGTTGAATGCCAACTCAGTGTGATCTATAGGTTAAGCGTTCGCTCGTGAAACTGAAGGTGCTAGGATCAATTTCCGCAAGCGGAGGTTGTGAATGTGTACTAGAATGAAACGACCATCCAGCGCTTCCAGGTTTCTAATGGTGGTCTAACAATGATTGATTGATTGATGATTCCAATACTTTCTGTTTGTTTTGTGTGTGTGTGTGTGTATGACTAAATTAAGAGCAACAAACTCAGTGGATGAACTAAAATGAATTCATTGGCGGTTGCTGGAAATCTAAAAATGACAGTCATGACTATATATAATCAGTGTACATATTAAGATTAGTAGAATATGGAACAATTATAAACTAATAAAACGTATAAATATTTATTTATTAACAAATGTTAAAATTCTATAAGAGAAATTTTAGAACACATGGAAAAACGTTTCTCGACAATGAAAATTGATGCCATCGTTGCTTGATCTGATAATCATAAGATCAAATAGATTAAGATAGTAAAATGAGTAAAGCTTAAAAATTAAATCAATAATGGAAAGGTTATTGAGAATATGAAATAAGCATATTGTGTCTAAAGAGAATAATTGGATTTGATTATGACCAATTCGGTCTCATTGCTGTTACGAGTATGGGGGCGTACATCAATTCCCGGCTGCCCACACCGTGGAAGGGTGTTTCTTGAGGAACATGAAAAGGAAATTGCGTTAGCATTGGTTTGAGTGACCTGGGAGCGTGACCACAAAGCCCAAGCGATAACTGCTTGAGTCCAGTCACACATGGCCATTTTATGGGAGTTTTTTAGAGTATTAACTGTGCTCCTCTAGTGGCCTTACCTTCGGAGATGGGTATCCGGGAGATAGAGTGAAGTGTAACATTTTGGGGTCGAGCTTTTCTAACCCCTACCTTCCTTGTCATGACACAGCATCGCTGCAGATGCTGATTGTCTGAGGAAACACCTGTCTGTTGTCACACTTCTCTACAATCTGCATTACGACTTCGCCCTCAGGTTCTGAGTTGTTGCCTTTAGTTTCACCGTTCTCTAATCAATCAGCCTTGCATGGTAGGACCTAAGGGAACCTATTTTCCAGCCAATATAGCTCGGTCGGGTCATCACGATAGTCAAGTCCAACCATCACGTCAATATAGCAGGTACGTTCGGGTAATGAAATAATGAAGAATGTAATTTAGTAGGATGATGAGGATGATAATGATGAGAGATTTAACAACTGTATGCATAGGCTTGTTTTTATTCCAAATTATTTTATTACAATAATCTTGGTGAAATAAATAAATTTATCGTATTTTGTTTAATGCACTATTATGGTGGAGTTTCATTCTCTAATTGGATGTTTTGGTTGTGTAGCTTTCGCTGTTCTTCTGAACAACATCATCAGCACAAACTTCAGATAAAAATGAATTACTCGAATTTCCACACACTTGGCACCACGTAGCTTATTCTGTTAACCTTGATCTTTATTGGTTGTTATTGACCTTGAACCTGTCGTTGTTTGCACATTTATTTTGATTATATCCCTCTTTGATCTACTTCTTGATCCTTTGTTTGTCTATGATTTTTTCTGATTGGTTGATACATTGGGTCCCAAAACGTCCAGCTTAGCGAATGAAACTCCATCACAATCATCCACCTGAGCTACAAATTTTCTCAACCATTACGTCCGCTATCTTACTTCTAAGACATGTTGACTAAATCAGTAAAATGTACCAATTAACGAGTAACTGATAGCTTAAACTAAATATTCTGGTTATCACTTCATAACTGGTGCTTGAGTTTCTCTAAATTTAATTTTTTTTTCTCGTCATTAAAATGATTTATTTTTCATATATTCAAACATTTCAACAGACTGATTGTGATCATTTGCTAGTAAAATGGTTACAATTTTCAATAAAATTAGTGTGCAAATCAACTGACTAGTAGTACATGTTTGTTTTCTGTCATTAAAAGTCAATTAGAAGAATGTTATTGACAAAATAGAGGAAATCTGTGTGCTAATTGTTTAATTATGTTTCATCAAATACTGTAATCAATAATCTCAAGATGAATTTATTTTGTCTGAAAAAATAACCTTATGTGAGAAATAATTTAGAATGGTTATTGTTTTTTAAAAAAATATATAAATCTTCTTATGATGAAATGTTGTATCTTTGTTTATTATGTGATTTTGAATGTATGATCATTATAGATAGTAGCTGTAAAAAGATTGATTGTTAATGAACTGGTACATTGAAACCTTGTAAACATAATCCTCTATTTGTACTTGAAAATAACTTGTATTTTTATGATGCATAGAGTAGAAACAAGTGAATTGAAGCGAACAGTATGCTGGGTATAAATTATACACTTTTATTATCATGTAGTTCAATTAATTTTGTTTAAACGTAAATTTCTATTTGTCCCTATTTCATTTAGGAATGGCTCCATATCCAGCTGTTTATCCATTCTATGGTGCTTATCCCACAATGCCACTGCCTCCAAATCCAGCATTTTCCCCGCCTAACATGGTGCATCCTCCTAATCCAATGGATGGTGGTAATAATAATACTTTCCCTGGTACTGGTGGAGCCGCTACCGGAACAGCTGCTGCTCTTGCTCAAGGACACTATCTTCCTGGACAACCTTCTGCACAGCCTTAAAAAATATTTCCCTATGAATATTTGGATTTTATCGTATTCTACATTATCTTTATTTGGCAATCTTTGCCTTGTGTTTAAGTTTTTTATACTGCACAGAATGTGTAATTATATAAATGTCCGATTTATTGATTTATTTTTGGATAATCTTCAATATGAAAAAAGATCATCTACTGATTTAAAATACTTTTATGTTTCTTCTTCTTTCTTATCTTACCCCTTCTCTCTTCTATCCAGACAAAATAATAGATAAACGGTGATTATCAACATTGTTCAAATATGTTTGCATTGGATGACATTTTTTTTAAAAAAAAATAATTGATAAACAATTGTTTTGAATGGGCATTATCTGATTTTCTTTTCCACGAACAATTACAAACAAACACACACCCCGTATTTGGCACTATGCTTGCAAATCAGTTGTATATCCATATTAAATTAAACTTTTTGTTATACAGTCAATATAGCGTACAATCGATATAGCACATTTTTTTTGTAAAAATTCCATAAATTTGATGTTTAGATAATTGAGCTTTATAAGCATAAAATTAATCGTTTAAAGCATTGATTATTTTGGAAGTCAAATTAGTCCAATATATATATATATATATACATCAGTTTCGTCTGTAAAACTACTCTCTGATTCATTTGAAAAGTTAATTTTCTTTTACACTATCTGTTACGCTTGTCTCTCGGTATGCTTCAGCTATTACGAGTTTACCTTAGTCGAATAACGAGAACAAAACAATGAACCAGCGTATACGTAGGCTACTGTGATCCCTTGATCAAATTGAATCAGCAAGAAGTCTTGATATACTGTAGAAATTGTATTCTACAAACACCCAGCCAGCACACAATGAATCCAAGCACTCAAATTTCGTTTATTTATACTATAGAGACGTCCTTGGGACAGTCACAAAAATAGCACACTAAAATGACAGTAACGAGTCACAGCCAATGATTTTCCTAGTGGGAAATGTGATCTGAAGGTCAACTGATCGTTTCATGAAATAAATCCAAAATAAAGATATTTATCAAGTGAGTTCTGGGGATCTAACATCCCCAACACTATCATTTCGGCTAATCATCGAGAATTAAGATTGTCGTATAAAGGTCTTACACATACTGACAGGTGTATCACTAATTCATTTGAACTAAAAAGTAAAAGGATACAATTCAAGTATTTTTTTTTTTGAAGGAGTCAATATTATTGCTGAAGTAGACTTTACAAATTAGGGACTATATGTTTCTTTAGCTGGAGTCGTCATAAACAGTTTGGTTTAAAAGGCGATGCAACGGAAATCCCATTGATGAAGGAATCAATTGGAGTTAACAATTTAGTGCATATCTTTCAAATATCTGTTCTTCAAAGGTTTCATGAGCTAAATCGTCATTAGTATTGAATGGTTGGGGAGAAATTTATATAACCAAAAACATGTTGGTTCGTTATATTATTACCCTTTCTGACATGTATGCAACTCTTATCCACTATGCTTAAATTCTTTTATTGAGTTTATTCTCATAGAAACCTTATTAATTCATCAGTTGAAATTTCGTTCTAAAACTTAATGTACTTAACCGTATAAAATGTTGTGAATCAAAGTCTGTACAGAATTTAATATTGTCTTTTTCTTTGTGAAGAGTTTGCATGTTCATGTCTTTTGTCCTCCCAACATAAGAAGATTATCATTGTCCTAGTAAAAAGACGTTTAAGCTCTTAGTTAACGTTTTATAACAATTACCAAACGTCCAATGATTACTTTCGAATTGATCATTTATGTTTCAATAAAACACGTGATTAATTTAAACAAATGAGAAATGCAATTACAGATAGATAGATTGAGTGATATTTCATCAATTGACTCTGAAGAGCACGTAATTTTAATGATTTCTACTCAATCTAAACATCACCTAAATATTATTATAAGTTTAAGCATTTCTTCGATGATTGTATAAATATTATGATGTAACCACTAAACCGATGTAGCAAAGTTATTGAAAAATATTCTGTACAATTAATTGATGATATACATAATATAAATACACAATTGGAATTCGAACGTCACTTGTTAACTCTTAACTGAGGTCTATTTAGTTGATCAATGGATTCAGAATTATAAAATATAACAGTATTATAATATGCCATGTTTTATCAAGTATTCAGAAAACACGATGTGATCTGTAAATGAATGTAACAATTCTGTTATAATTTGTATTATAGAAATCAAATATGAAATTCTGTTATTGATTTGACAATTTAGCAGTTTATAGAGTTATACCAAATAATGATATGAGTAGTGATGTATATTGTGAATAGTAATCTCTATCATGCAAACGAAGAGTGTTCCGGTAGAGGTCATGGTCAAAATTGACACAACAATTCTATCAATAATGGTTGTACAAATTCAATAAGATTATTCACAGTCTATGCGAACCATCTGCACAATAATAATTGGCAATTAATCTATAGCAGAATGCAGACAGACAGATACAGCGCAGAACTTCGAACGTAAGTAAATCAGTTCAGGTTGCCATACCACATCAGCACAGAGACGCAACTGTCAGTTCAAATCCGACAGTGATAGCGATAGTAGAGATATTAGCAGCAGTATAGAAGATTAGGGAGCGAAGATATGATTCGGGAAGCATAATTCAGAGAGATAAATTGAGAAGGAGAAAGACAGAGATTATGAGGAATTCAGAGGATTAGAATTTCATAGAACACAGAAAGTGGATGCACCTGCGCCATTGCAACCGATTCTGAGCCATGTCGCTCAAGGTCTCTAACCACTGATAACCTTCGTCTCGTGGATCCCAACCAGGTAGCCTACATCTACAAACAAGACCCAGTCCACTTGTCAGTGACTTCATGCATTTCTGCCATGTTTTGGTCTGGTCGCCCCTAGCTTTCTTCCAACCTGCTCCTAAACCACAAAACATAGCTCGTCTAGGCAGTCGGTGGTTAGGCATACGTAACACATGTCCCAACCACCTCAACTGATGATGTTTCAATACTTCATCTATTGATCTGCCATCCTCACCTAGCACCCGTTTCCTAACGACAGAATTGTTTGTACTTTTGTCCCATGATACACGAGCAATGCTATGATCGAAGACTAGTAGCCTACGAAAGTCCTCTACTTTTAACGGCCATGTTTCACATCCGTACAATAGGACGGAGCGAAATGATGAACAGTACACTCGTCCTTTGGTTAACAAGCGGACATCTCGTCTGCGGCATAAGCGACGTAGGTTGGCAAAAGTCAATAGAGCCTTCTGTATCTGAGCTGAGATTTCGTCAGTCACCAGGCCATCAGCACTGATGAGACTCCCCACATAAGTGAGGCGGTCCATACGCTCGACTACTTCACTCCCTATCACTAGTTCATGTGCTGCTTCAACCCAATCTTGAAGCAACATTTTGCATTTCAAGGGGGAAAAACCGCTCCCGAACATGCATTGTTGCTTAGGGTGGTCAGAAGACTCTGCATTTTGTCAGCGTCTTCACCAAGTAGGACTATGTCATCGGCATATTCTAAGTCAATAAGCGAGCTAGCAGGTAAAAGGTCTACTCCTTGAAAATTCAGACGAGGATAAGGTTATTTCTAGGAGCATGTCTATGATAAAATTAAACAAGAATGGAGAAAGTGGACATCCCCTGACGGACACCACTTGAAGTAAAGAATTCCTGGTGGACAGTTCGCCATAAAGCTCTCACCGACCAGTAGTTTTAGGAGTAACGAGCTTGTATAAGGTTAATGTACTTCTGTGGTACACCTTTCAATGACAGACACTGCCCACAGAACCTTACGATCAACAGAGTCAAATGCCGCCTTAAGGTCTAGGAAAACAACTATTGTAGGACGCCTAAATGTGTGTCTTTGTAAAAGACGTGGTCTATACAGCACGTCCAGGTCGAAATCAGACTGGTTTTCTCTAGTCTGCTCGCGCTCTAGTTAGGCGTCTAAGTATAATTCAGGCTAACAATTTAGAAACTATATTAGGTAGACTTATTCCCCTGTGATTGTCACAAGAAGACTTTTGTTTTCAAAATAGAAAAATACTTGTTTTCTTGAATTTCACAGATCATATCGCGTAATGTGTTTTACCACATAAGAGGTCTTAAACGATAAGTTCAGATTGTATTGTATTGTATTCTCATATTCCAGTGAATATTTTAATCAATTGTAACGTGTGTCAAGACATATCTTGATTCACAGTCATTTGAGAGTACATATTATAGTCACATGATTATTTCAAATATATTATATTCGTTATAACATATATAAAAAATACATTTGCAAACAGACTCGTGACAATATCTGGCAAAAACCCAGAGAAACTATGTACAGCTGACGATTTCAATTTCTTCTTCGAAACACGCAAACATAATATTATTCAAGCAATCAATTCAACTTATTTTCAACAATAATCATCCTAATCAACAATACATATAATATGCAAGTTTAAAGTATCTAAATCAATGCTACATATTCTCATTACTAATTTATCAAACATGGAAATGATATTCTTAATTTACACTCATTAATCTACGCTTTTGTTTTACGTCATTGATCAATGTTATAAATATACATATTACATTTGAATTTGCATTTCATAATCATGCGTTTAATTAATAATTGCATGAATTCTGTACAGTGCTGCCAAAAAAAAAACAAACGTGTGCGGTACTAAAATAGAAAGAAAAGAAAAACTAGTAACCTGATTCATTCACAACTGTATCGATTAATGAATTAATTATTCTCCTAGCGAGGCTGTTAAAAGTGTCTTTCAATCAATCACTACACTCACAATTATGACTATTCATCATGCTACACCTAAATACATATGTTCTATTGACTAGAATATTTTTGTTTGTTAAATTGACAACACTTGATTCAGTAGTCGTTGACTGATGATTAATTTATAACAGAAATTCCTGACTAACTGACATACAAACAACTATCATACAGAGTAGCAATTAAAAAAAATAGGTATGTATG